ACCATTACAAAGGCAGCGAACAGTTTGATTCCTGACCTTTGCCAACGGCAGTGGTGATTGACAGCTGAACTAGTCCTGGCCCCCACCTCACCAACCTTTTCTAACCAACATGGTGAAGTATGGTTAAACAACTCTCATCACCAACGTGACACAGGAGAGCCTTTATCCAGCAGTCGATTGACAAAGGGCTGTAAATATGAACAATTGTCAAGTATAACGACGTGATTAAATATCACAGCAAGTCTGTTATATAACGGAAAGCTTATTGAATGTTATTAGAAACTTTTCAACTCACTACTTAATACATTAGCTGTCCATATGTATATAATTGAGAGCACGATACCTCTATGATGATAAAGATGATTTAATATGAACATAACTTAGGTCTAAAGTTGTGTTGCTATGATAGATGTACTCGATGATCAAATGGTTGCTCAAAACGTGCGTCCTTGCTCCTGCCTGCGCATCTGACACACGTGCAACCTCGCGTCGTTATCGCTAAACACTTTGGGCGCATGTTGGAAGCATGACTGAATCCATGCGAATCCCCCCCCCCCCCTGCCTTGTTTAGAATGCATTTAGGTGTGGCAAAATGATACTGCAATAAAAATCTAGGTGTATGTAGGCATTACTGCAGGTAATGTGTATACAGGATGTGTAGTTTATTTGTTGTGTTTTTAATGTTGCACTGTAGCTCAGTGATGAGCGTGTGTTTATTCACAGGACACGGATGTTCTGTCGTGTGCTGTTATGCTCACGCTTTGTAATTAACGCGTGCAGTTTCACAAGAGCTTGTGAGGCTATACAGGTGTGCGCTATTGACTTTAGAGCATTCCATTCTATGCACGGTGTAAGAGGCATTTGTACCTTGCCCCTGCATGACAGGCATGTGGCATGTGGACTGTAGCGCTGTGAATTCAGCCACAGCACTCATCCCAGAACGAGTCGAAGCAGGGTGTTCGAAATCTGCCCACCTCGTGGCCCCAAACGGTCTCTATTTTCGTGCTTGCCGATCTTTCTCTCTTTGAATGCAAATGAAGTTGTCACACTGCACTCTTCTAAATAATCACTTTTGCAAACTAGACTGTGTCTCTTGAGGTTTCACCAAGTTAAACAAAACTTGTCAACTTGAACTTGACGCTCGCATGTTCCGGATGATTGGCAAACATGCCCTGTGTGATGCACAGGGCCAATTTAAATGAATAATCCTGGATACTTTACACCACGAAGGGCAAAGACAACGACCCACTCCCCACCCATCCTCCGTATAGCCGTACAAACTACGGGACACGTGCTCTTAGCGAGCACCTATTAAGGCTGACACGGCGCAGGTGCACAAAGACAAAGGTCCCCCGCATAGCCTGTAACAGACTGTTGGGGCAAGTGCTGTTAGCGAGCACTTATGAAGACCGGCACGGCATACGAGGGGATGGGTGACCAGCACCACGCTCGACCGTCTTTGTCTCCCTAGTGGCGACGTTTACACACCGCACCAGGTAATAATTTGAGGCTGAGTCTACCTAGAGGAGGCGGCCCAGGACCGGTTCAGATAATCGCCACTGGTCGCCAGGGTTCGTAGCTCAGCGTGCTCACCGCTAAACTACCGTTCCCCACACTCGGACCCACATGCATGTACACGCATACGATCTCTATCTTCATTTGAATAATTATTCCCCACGTCACGTGTTTTGGAACGTGTCCGAGAGGATGTCCACCGAAAGCGATGAGATCAGCTCGTGTGCAGGTGCTCGGTGAGAGATGGCAATGGCTCGGGGAGGCCTTCATCCAGCAACGAATTGATCATGGCCGATTATGGCATATTACATTAAAAGACCAGCCGTGTTGTGAAGATTCAGTGTGGTATCCCAAAGAGAACCTGATTAGTTTGTCTAGTTTGTGGCATCGTATTTGCTTGTGGCTTTGAGGAATGAGAAAAACAGCATGCCGCACACATGCCTAAAACAAGTACACATTCAAATAAAATAAATAAAATTCGTGAGAAATATGTATCGTGATTAATTGAGCAAGCATTTGTAAAAGCAGTGATTTATAAACTCCCAAAACATGTAGTTAAGGCCGAGATCTATGCTGTAGTAAGTACAGTATTAGGCAGAACATTTTACAATTCAAATATAAACTGTAAGCTCAGGGTCATACCTATTTATTGGTAGGCTCAATGTTTATATAGTGTAGTTCCTTCTCATTCTTTTTGTTCTAGTCTGATAAGGCTCTGCAGTCTGCAATAATGACCTCATGATAATACAGTATTGATCATTGTCCCTACACAGGGCTGTAGAGATAACACAGTCAAACACTTGGCCTGTGTTAGAATACAAAAAAAGTGTTATAAGGATGGCCAGTTGAACTTAACGTTTGTATAATACAGCAACACCATGTTTTACATGTAACAATATTCGCATGATAGTTTAACACTAAGCTTTCGCGACCAATATAATCCATAATACAGGTTTTTTCTTTTGGGAACGATCGCGTAAATATATAAATGTGTCGTTAAACCCGCCACCACCCAACACAGCCAATTAGTAAGGTTTGTTACGTAAACAGAACGTGCCAATTCGTTACTAGTACAGCACGCCGGACTTCTCCACAAATCTGGTTGTCGCCTGATGAAGCTAGTTGTAATTACTGGCGAAACGTCGTGCTCAGATTGTAAATGTTGTGGCTTGGCTCTCCAACATACCGGTGTGCTGTACTAGTGACGAATTGGCACGTTCTGTTCACGTGACAAACCTTGTTAATTGGCTGTGTCAGGTGGTGGCGGATTTAACGACACATTTATATATTTATGCGATATAACCCAAAAAACTGTATTATGTATGATACGCAGCACTTCTAAAAAAAGGAGAAATAACTTCTAGGGTCAAATATACGCAGGTAAATGAGTAGCACTTGTGGGCATACATTATGCCGGCGTTTACCAGACTTGCAGCACACAAATCTGTTTTTTTTGGCTCATAGCTCTCAATTTAAATTATTTCTCTAAGCCTGCCCTTTAAAGTAACCATTGTTGACCCTGGCGGGGGTGTGGAAGCACAATGTGTCGGTGACAGGAAATGGCCCAGCCCTCTATTGTGAATAGACTTGGGCTTTAAATTGTACTAGCTCTCCAATGTGTTCATAGGTTGTACCGGGTTGCGTTCTGAATTGTGTCTGACGTTTCGCTCCACGTGCTGGGACCTTCTTAAGGGCGCAACAACGTGGAACAACCCAAATACACTTGAGAGAGCTACACATTGTTGCGGTAAAATCCACACGGTGGTTTTAAACGGGACTGCACACACGTGGAAATAAACAGCAAACTTGTTACATGGATTCATCTTTGTTAAAAATGACAGTTCGTAATAAAAATAGATATCAAGTCCTCATTTACTAATACTGTAATTATTTGCGCTTTGATAAAAAAGATGACAATTTGGTTATGTTAAAGGGAATTATTTCAATAAGGTGATCGTCAATTGTTTTACGAGGATAACTGGTGAGAATACACCTGCAGGGAGGGGGGAATACGTAAAATAACGTGAGGCAAACACACACTCGGGGAAATGTATACTTTAAAACATTGAATGAAAGGAGAACTTTACATTGTATGTTGAATAATCTAAAATACATTACCATGAATTAGAGCTTGAATCATTCACCGATTGTAAAATGTCAGATAAACCATAGTTAACTGTTATACCTCAGGAACAGTTAAAGTGTTTGTATACTCAAGCAGAACGAGGTGTTACAAATTCCCATCGGTAGCGCTGTGCCAATGGTACAATTTCACATTGATACGATGGACCAGTCCACCCATAGTACAACCTTAAGTTAATAATACAGCTTCAAAATCACTGAATGGCAAAACAAACATGTAATTGATCATTGTTTTTTACCCTTTTATCTGGCAACAAAACTGACACCTTTTTTTACAAGGAGTCATGTTTACATTGACCACAATACCTGCAGTCGGAATGCATAAAAAGAACACAACTCTGATAATGTATGCACTGTCCTTGAAGTTGATTGGTCCACACCCGAGACAGCTTTTCTTAGAGCCTAGTCTCACATGGTGTTGGACCAGATTGTGCGACAGTAAAACATCATTTCATTTCAGCGTAGGGACCCAATGTCGAGGATTCTATTATCTGCAGAATTGACTCCACTCATCCGTAGGGAAAAATGTGTTGCTAACGAATAATATGATGAGTTTGCAGATGAATTCTTCCTATACGTGAAAAAGTGCAGATAAGAGGAATTTGGTTTGCAAAGGACAGGAACAATCCAAGGGTAATCGAAATAGGTGGAGCGGATAAGATGAGTTTGTGAAACATCTCCCGTACCCTCAAAAGTGCCTCATTATTCCTACAAATATTCAAATTTAAGAAAGTAATGTAAATAAAAACAGTATTCCCGCGTTGCTGCTCCAAGTTTATCCACCTCTTGGCACTCATCCACAGCGGCTCATTTCGCGATTAGACCAAAACACAGGGCTTGCTTCCTCTGCCTTCCTCTGCCGAGTTATATGAGCAGTCTAATTCATTACATTCTCTAACGTTTCGTTTACGATGGTGAAACACCTTGTACACGTTTCTCTGCAATATAGATTTTTTTGAGTTACTGTGTGCGCGCACGCACAGATCTCTGCCTTGTCAAATAGCGTAGGGAAAACTGGCTTAAACGGGGCCATCCGTGTAACAAAGAAACTGAACTAAATCTAAACACATATCGAGGTGAAGAAGCTCAGAGACTGAAGGCGTCGCGGTGACGATGGGAGCAGTCGGGCCATCGCCGCATTCCTCGCGTTCCTCTCCGCTGACGTCACCGGCGGATCACCCATCCCGCGCGCAGCGATACCGGCAACCGGCATCGCCACCCCTACTTTTAAACACCCCCACCCCACACACAACACAGACCCTTCGTTGTCTTCCTAACAAAACGGCACAAAACAGCTAAATTATCCTTCAGATATCTCGCGCTCGCTTTTTGTCTGCCCGTACGCGAGAAAAAGGCAGAAAGTGCCCCCCCCCCGCGGGGCACTACTTGCACGCGGCGGAAGGCGACTCGCGGCGCGCTGCTGCTGCTGCTGTGACGGGCGGAGGCAGCGGCACACGGGGAGGCGGGTTCGAGGCGGCGGCGCGTCGCGTTCCTCTGAGTCGCCTTCAGCCGGGGGCAGAGCGCCACTGTCGTCGTCGTAGTCGTCGTTGTTGTTGTTGAAGCAGGACGCGGCTGGACTACGGCGATAACGCAACGGCGAGGGGGCAGCTCGAGGCGAATGGACGGGGCGAGCCCGGCGCGGGCTCAGGTGAGTGTTGAGCTTCATCTCGAGTCGTCGTCACCATTACCTCGGCAGCGGCACTCCGGCTGCTCTACTCTTGCTGGATAATGTCACCAACCTCCCCCCCCCCCCCCTCGTGCTTGCTACTCAGCTGCAGCCGCGTCTCGTCAAGGCGCTTCTGTTGGTTGCGAGGGGCACTCGCTCACTGTAAGCGCACTGTACGGGTTTGTTGATGTTGATGAAGGAAGGGGATTTGTCATTCTGCTTTGCCTTTTATTGATGCGCATCTACGTGCGTTTGTAGAACCCTTCTTACTCTTCACTTGTGTCCACTGCTGCACCAGCCCCCCCCCCCCACGCCGTGCGGGTCGTGGAGGTTGTTTGACCATACTTCACCACACTGGTCAGTACGGTAGCGGACAGCGCCTAGCAGCGCTACGAACCCAGCGACCCAAGTTCGATTCCCACTCACGGCCAACACCAGGGACGATTATCTGAACCGGTCCTGGGCCTCCCATAGGTTGACTCGGCCTCAAATGAGTATCTGGTGCGGTGTGTAAAACACCGCCACTGGGGAGACAAAGGCGGCTGCGCGTGGTGGTGCCCACCCACCCGCTCTGGTGCCGAACCGACTGTCAGTGGTGCTCCTCGCTAACACCCCCCCCCAGCAACAGCAGCCTGTAAGACCACACGGGGGGGTCTGTGTCCCTAGTCAGTGCGGGCTCTTGAAGGCGCCTGTTGTGTGCGTGTTGGACGCCCATCCCACTACTATCCAGGCTCAAGCCCGCTTCGCTGATTAGTAGTAGTGCTGTGATTGGCGACCACCCTGCGTTTTGTTTAACACTATCGCACCTCCGATTAGCACGGCTTGGCTACGTACGGTGCGAAAGATGTTCAACATAGTACATACGATTTATTTCCTCCAATAGAATGTACATGTTATAGTAGTACCCTTGAACTGTGTTCAAATACTGTATTAGGGCTTATTCCTCTTGAACTGCCCCAAGGCAATAGCTGGTACACACATTCTTACAGTACATAACAATGACATACGGTCATACAGTATTGATTTGGTAATTCTTTATTCAGAAAAGCTTCAATAGGTCTCGATACTTTTGGCAACATTCCTGCATTCGGATGTTTGGCAATTTCCTTCTCCCATTGTATATTCTGCATATCAAAGTGGAATATTGTTCCACGTGCCTGTCATTATACATCATTATGTAGGTCGTAAATAAGTGTTCTATCGTCATTAAACCATGAAAAGTGCACAAAGAAGCATTGAGAGATGCATGTTTTTAATTACATTGAGAGACAGAATGAGGAACACGTGGATTAGAGAACGACACAGGTTCTCGACATTAATCGCATTGGCGAAGTGGCCGATGGTCAACAATAGTGACAGGGTGACAGGCAACAGATGGAAGGCATCCGAGAGGATATCGACTGAGGAGGTGGAGTGATGAAACCGGCTCACGTGCACTTGCTGGGTGGATTGTTATATCACGGGGAGTGCACGACATGGCAGAAGTTTTCGGAGACCTTACTCCAGCAGTGCATTGACCATGGCTTATGTTATGGGCCATTGTGTATTTGACTGTAACCATTGCTCATTTTCACGGGAAAGACTGATCAAGTCTCAAGACACATTTTTTCGCAAGGTCTTGCTGGCAGTGTTTGCCATACATTCCTTTTTAGAGTATGCTGAGAGGAGTCGGAGTGCTACATACGAGGGATGATGTATATGTAATTGATGGACTACCTGATATCGACGTAACCTGGTGGATCTGTTGGTGGGTATCCTGCACATTTGAATGATCCACCAATCCCTCACAAGCCGCTGGATTACAGATGAGCACCTCAGTCAACCAGAATGTAGTTGGGAGTACTCTTCTGCGTATTGTGTTTGAACATGATACGATAAAGGCAGTGGTTTTGCCATTCAAATGTGACGCCTGTAGTAAATTGTGAGTGCTTGTTGATAGGGGATGTATAAAGTTCACTTATATTCATATGCTACGCAGTGCCGTCAGACTATTTAGCCCTGACAGAAGGGGCAGTCACTCAAGAGACATAACATGTGAGGGCGTGAGCGATGAAAGAAGAGTAGTATATATTTTAAAGGTGCACAATGTTGTGCTCGGTGACCTGGTTACATGCCTATGACCAAATAATCCGGAATGCGTCTGCTCTCGTCAGATCTTGGAAGCTAAGTAGGCTTAAACCTGGATAGTGCTTGGATGGGTGAACATCATGCCCAACCCGCTTGTCATACGATTATAACTTCGAGGTGGGCAGTAGAGGCCATTACATAAAAAATACATTGTGCTGTGTTTCAATGCTTCCACTTCTTTGCACCCCACCATCACCAACCTGCACTGACCATTGTGGTGATGTGTGGCTATAAACACGCACGACCCAGTGCACCGGTGTGGGGAGACCCTCATCCTACAGTGTAAAGATAAGTACACTGATACCCCGATTTACGTATGGGATGCATTCATGAAAAGTGCGAAGGCAATTATCGAAACGGTGTAAATCAAAGCAATTTACAGCGTAGGTTGAGACAAAGGCTGAGAAGCGACAGATACGAGAGAGGACGGATGATGCTGTCAGTGACGTCAGGTGTGTGGTTAGGTGACGCAACCAGGTAGCAGCGGTGTTCACAAAGTGACGACGTAAAAGGATGAGACGTAATTCGGGGTATTTCTGAACTTGAACATGGCCTGGTATGTTATTAATGCGAGTAGTGTATCGTAACCCAAACAAAAAAAGTGTTACACATATTTTATACACTTTGAAAGGGTGATTGCTCATACGATTAACCTTGGGTTATGAACTGTCAAATTGTTAGTATAATGGTTGCCATGTAATGTGTAGTAAAGCAAACGGTATTCAGAACTGAGTTGTACAATGCTTGCTATCCTTATAAACAGCCACTGACAAATGTTCTATAATGTGACCAAACTATAGTTTAAGTTTTGTCCTTCAAAATCAGGCTCTTGGGATTTAACATGTCTGAATATGTATTATAGCCGAGGAACAGAACATTATTTTACCCTCGGTGTGCAATGGATTTTAGAGACGGAAGCAGATTCGTCAATGTGTTTTAATTATTTTGTTTCTGTTTTGGAAATAACATTCAGGTTTATTTGAATATATCAGTGTACTCTATTGAATTGCCTGTATTAACTGTGGGATTTACTAAACTTTTTTTTTTAGATTTTACCAGGTAATACCCTCTAAGCCATATCGCTTTTTTCAGAAACGACATGGCCACAAATGATAGCCCAATGAAGTGGCTTAGGTGGAAATTTATAGCAGCAAAATACTCTAAGTGCATGTTTCTAAATGTGGAGGGAAAAACCAGAGGACTGGAGAAAAGTTAACGTGACCACGGGGAGAACATGCAAACTCCAAATAGACAGCAGGCATCAGGGTCGAGATCGAACCCACGACCTTCTTTCTGTATACCAGACGAGGTAGTTAACATCTCGCCACCGTGGCACATTTACTTTAGTTTTATATAGAAGTTGTCCTGTTCACCAACAAACTTCCAATGTAGCAACAGAGATATGTAATCTATGGCATTGGCAGGCATTGCCTTTTTTAAATTGTTGTAAAACTGTAATAAGAATTGTTTGATACATGGGCTATAAAACTACAGAAGGGTTGCGTTCCCTGTAGCAATAACCTTAAAACACCTCTGTCATCTCTAGGTCACATATCACTGCTAAGCAGTATACCACTTAACAGTTGATTTGGCGTACAGTGTATAACGGATGTACATTTAAAGCCACACGTATATGCGCCTGTATTATATTGAAGTGCAATGAAAATAGTCTCTCTTGCATGTGGCTGGATGAACAAAGGTCCATCCGTGGTGACGCTTGCTCACACACTATGGGTTATAATAAGGGCCTCCAACCAGAATAAAAACATCTCGACAGAACCCCTTTACAGGATTTTTGTTCTCTTCAATGCTGGCCAGGTGTCTTGAAAAAGGTCAGAGTATCCATATTTAGTTTAACACGTAGTAGGCTTTCGCGACCAATATCATCCATAATAGAGGTTTTTGGGTTAGATCGCGTAAAAATAAAAATGTGTCGTTATTACCCGCCACCACCTGACACAGCCAATTAGTAAGGGTTGTCACGTAAACAGAACATTTAACTTGCAACAAATACATCTATGTTCAGATTAGTTAGCTAGGAAATGGATGTAATGTGTGCGTGTTGGATTTTTTTTCAATTCCTCCGTTGCTGTTTTTGGAGTCCACAATGGTATATTACTGTGTGGGCCTTAGTAATGTGTTTGCAATCGCAAGGCGGCCTTTCTTTGAATTTCCACTTGTAAAAGTAGTGGGAGGATCAGCCATGAGATCTGCCTATTTGATTTAATGTGGACCATTGTTTTCGAGGGAACAATAGATTTAATCCCGGAGGTTCTTTAGTCGGATTAGCAATCAGGTGCTTGCTCGGGATATTGGCGTTCGCCAAAATATCTTGTAATTTTGTGTGTATGTTGAACTTCTTTTGCACCGTACGTAGCCAACCGTGCTAATCGGAGGTGCGGGGGACGCACAATTTAATAACCTCAATGAATAGCAATGTTCTCTGAAAACAGAGTAGTATGGCGATGTAAGACATGGTGCGTGAAGTCTCTCTGTATTGTAATGATTGACAAAGGGGGAATTGTTGATGAAAAAAATGTACATCTATGAGTGTGGCATAAGCCACCTATGAGAACTTGTGTGGCCAGGGTGTAATGCCGCAAGAGACTATAGCAAGGTGAATCAAAGTGCTAGTCGTGATGGTTATTTTGACATGGAATGTATGTGGTATAAAAAGGGTGTTATATTTTGATGCATAGCTACTTGGAGTAGGTTTAAGTTCCTTCTATATAAACAGGATGATGCATCAGTCATTTTTACCACATACTTATATCTGCCAGCGAATTGCTTTGGATATTTGGAACAGTACGTCATTGGAATTATTCTCCATTTCCAGTTAACCCATGCATGTAGTCTCTGTATATTATGCAGCTGTACATTATTTACAGTACAGTATATTTTCACAATGCAAATTCATTCGTAGACTTTATGTATTTTATGTATTCTGTTGTATACAAAAATCTGTATCACACACTACATGCACATTGATGTAGTTTACTTTGTAAAAAAAAACTTTACAGGAGTATGAAGGACCTACTGACCTACATTGAAATGCTTGACAAGTGTTTCACACATAGTGTTGTATCTCAATTCAGTGTATAATACAAGTCCATTCATCCACATGGCTTTCTTCTATCTACCCTTCCAGCACCACCCAACCCTAACCCTCATACAACACTCCCCATGCAGGCACAGAACAGATCCGTGCACACTATTGCAGAAACAAGACGAGTTCCACGGAGCGAGTCTATCTATGATTGCTTAAGTATGAGAAAAACATAACAGTAAATGCAGTGGCATCTTTGCTGCAGATTTTCACCTTCTTAGTCAAAATTGTTCCTCTACATCATCAGGAGCCGCGCTCTTCACTTCACGGTACTGAATTAGTTATTGGTGTAGTTTGCTTTATTTACTTATAGAAGTTTTATTATTTAATTGTACAGTATTGTATGGCATTTTATTTTGGCTGCAGTAGTGTATGGTGAGATGTCATCCTTACTGCAGAATTTTTTGCCATGCCGTGAATAGTGGACGTTATTATGTCCAAATTCAGGAAAATGCATGTTGTAAACATGGATGTAATGTAATTACGTTTTAACTAATTTGATTCATATGTACATTAAAGTGACAAGTGCAGAACAATACAAATGTTCGTGATATATTCTAAGAAGACACCAACTCACTAAGTACAATTTTGTACATAAGTCTTAAAAATGTATTCACGTAATAAAAACTTTTACGTGCATTTATCTGTTTAAACAAGCAGTGTCTTAGTGCATTTGTTTGGCATGTGCAGCCTCCAATGGCATACCTATTGCATTGTGTCATAGGCTGGTTGAAAACCAGTATCGCTTGAATGTGTAACACTGTACCGCCTCTACTAATTACTGCGGCTGAGCCAGAATTTTGATTAAGCAGTGTTTTGTTGCTTAATACAAATATGCATAAATCAGCACTGGCATTAAAAAATACTCCTATAATAAGCCCTTTATGTGACGGCGACGTCGACTAAACAACCGGTTGAAGTATAACGACGTGGCGCACGGCGTCTCAGCTCCTTGTAAATCGACAGAATTTGGAGTAATGATAGTATGTGTAGCCTTAATGTGCAGCCATGAGTACAGCAGAGACCTATAGAGCTCTATTTTGCGGTTTCTTGATGCCATACTTGGGTCGTGTAAAGCGATGATGTGTCGTGACCGTGTCGTGGGTTGGACGGGGAAAGAAAGGGACACCGCGTTTGTGTAGTCACCTCGAGGTGGTGTTATTGGAAGTGGTGTGTCTTGGCGAGAAGCTGTATTGTTACTCTCTTACCCAGAAGCATCTCCACGCATTGTACCAGCACTGCATGCTCAATATCTGAAACTGATGTGGATGTTCCAAAATTACAGATGATACGTGCTGTCTCTAAAGATTAAATAGTTAATAGAGGTATTTTAGTCGTACATTCACAGCCATGTAAATCGTCAGCTTTCATTACAACATAATCTGTATGTGTGTTTTAAAAAGCCAAGCGATCTAAACGGAGAAGACTGCTTTAAAATTAAACATAATAGGCGATGTTTGGGCATGGTCCTTCTTAATATCACATCAAAAAGGTCCATTGCTTGAAACATCGGCTATTGTATATTGTTTTCCTTTCAAGGCAGTGTTATTGACAAGTGAGTGAAGTATTTTTGTTTATTCTGCTTGTGGACCTCTGCAAGGGCAACATCTCCACCTCCGATTAGCACGGTTTGGCTACGTACAGTGTGAAAGAAGTTCAACGTACACACCAAATAATTAGTTTTCGGTAAAGTAAGTAACTATACGTCTCTTTATTGTGCATTAGAAATATTATAGTTCCAGCAATGTTATTTTCTGCATGACATGCATCTTGCAGATTACTATCTACATTTTGGTCATGAAAACAAATGGCAGAGTGGCAGAACTTGTGCTCAGGAATGCACGTACTGCGAAAATGCCCGGACAGTGCGGACTAAAAGTGTATGGTATGCTTGGGCGATGGTCAACTAATTTTCTCCTAATATTAGCCTCGACAAGCAAAAAGCAGCCTACTCGCTTCACTCGCCTTCTAATGCCGTGCTCGTGTACATGTACTGCAGAGGCCGTTGGTGAATCCACTGCTGGATGAGAACATCCTCATGCTGTACAGGTCACAGGGGTTATTCTGCAATACTTTAGGCTGGTCTGTGCGGGTTTGCGAATGTGGGGAGCATGATACGTTAGTGCATAGAAATACAGTACAATAACTGATTTTGTAGCACGGTCATTTCCGGCCATATGATAGTCCAACAGCCCTATGATAACCTGTCTGTATGAGCACTATCCAGGCTCAAACCTGCTTATCTTCTGTGATTCATGGGATCGGGTGCATTACTGGTGATTGTTCATAAACTCTTAATCTTTTAATATTATTGAAAATATATCCTGCCTAATTCATTAGCAGTCGTGATTTTGGTCTGGTGAGAAATATGAAAATTTTAATCCGGGGCAAATAATCAGAAAAGTCAGTTATTTCTATTAGTTATGCTTTTGTGCTTGAACATTTTCCTATAGTGACTTAACAGTCATAGTTTAATATATGATAACCATGATTAAATTGACAGTTTCCTAACATGTTAGCTCTATTCTTAATTAAGAAAGCTAACATTTGTTTTCATGTTGAACACTCATTATGAAAATCCTATTCACTTAAACATTATTTATTGTCTATTCATTTAGATTTTTAGCTGACTAGATATTGATTTTCAGGATAACAATACAGTATGTCCAATGTATAACGAGCACAATTCTTGTTAACATAAGTCAGCAACACATTAAGAAGAAGTTATAGCTCTTTGTCAATCCACTGCTGCCAATTTGATGGACCATATTTAAATTTTCTGCCTTTAGTGCCGGCAATTTATTCCTTCGTAACGTATTTGCCAACTTTTAGCACACAAGTTAGCAAAACTAAACCCAGCAAATGCACTACGAGTGTGGGTCGTGTGGTTTGCTCTCTCAAAAATCTGTATTGTCCGGAAGGAACTCTTCTGGATTGGAATTTGTCATTTGTGCACCCCTCGTGAACACAATGCCATGCTTTAATTAATTCCTCTTTTGTGTAAACATTGGTATCCTGTGCCGATTTCCTATTTTGGGAATTAAACTTGCAGGAACTTTGCACATGCCTTTAAACGTGTATGGCAATACCAGTAGTTGTTTTTTAGTACGAATGTGTTATTTTTATTCTTGGTTAGTGTCAGAAATGTAAGACTTTATTTTTTTACGCAACACTTTTTTGGATTCTGTTTTTAGTGGACATTATACAATAAAAAAGAGGTTTTTGCTATTGTCAGCAAGTCCAAACATGAAGTCTACTGATCTGTCACTTGGGCTTTTCATTGAGTACTGCACAGTTGGTCTCATCTGTTACCTTGTTAAGCATCTTGGAGTTCTACAGTGTTTAGACACTATGCAAATTTAACTTGTACTGTAGTCTAAGGCTGTAATGCATATTGTAGTATGAGGATGTAAAAGGAGGCAAGGGAAACCCCTTTAATGTTAACTTTGGTCTTGTTTTGTCTAGGCATGGTGGTAGCCTCCTGGTGGGTCTGACACTGGGGAATCAAAAATTGTTTCGCCTCTTTCTTAAAATATTAAAATCAAACTGTTAAATACCGCACTTATTGTACTAAATGGTTTGAATCTTTGTCAGACCAAACAGTATTTCAGTGATTATTTTTTAAACTGAAAGCATCTGTTGGTAAATGTCTTGCTGTCTTTGGCTTAGAAGCCACCTTTTATTGGCAATTGAGATGCTGATTTTAGAAGCAGTTTCACGTCTAATAATAATGTTGACAAATGCGAAATAAAAAATGCATAACGCCAAGTTGCGGATCAAGTGTCTTGCATTAGGCTTGGTAACCCAATCGCCTCTCTTGCAACGGCTAATCTTCTGTTCTAACTTGCGATTCGCCCTTCAAATTGAATAAAAATGTATGTTTTCATTTCCAGATCTCACAAGACCCATCTCTACAGACTGCTGTCCATTAGCGGATGCAAAACAAACGGCGGTGGCGGCGGTGACGACGACGACGCGTGAATAGACGTGAACTCTTGGTAACAGCAGTGGCCCAGTGGGGGTGCGTGGGGCTGCCCGGCCCACCGCGATGCCTTTTGGTCTGAGGCTCAAGCGGACGCGGCGCTACAATGTCTCAAACAAGAACTGCTTCGTTATTCGTATCAAGCTGTTGGACACCAGTGTGATTGAGTGCACGCTGTCGGTGGAGAGCACGGGTCAAGAGTGCCTGGAAGCTGCTGCTCAGAGGCTGGAGCTACGAGAGGTAATGTAAAGCCAAGTGAACACTGGAGGTTTTTTTGTGTCCTGCATATAGTTCTCAATTTTCGGGCTGTACTCTGTGGTGTTTGGAACGATGTCCCCAGCATGCAGAGTGAAACATTGGACATCATGGCAAATAAATTGCCGTGCAGTTCTGAAAACATTATGCAAGCACTTAGTTGCTTGAAATCATTTCGGAAGACCACCCGGTTTTCAAGCTGCAGCTCTGTGTATTTATTGGGAAACCCGTACCGGCCAATCAGTCGGTTATTAAAATATCAAATAGTGATGGTAATTTTAAGCTTGGCCAACAAGCTTTTAATTTTCGTGAACAGGTATTTTAAATGTATGTCCTTTGCTGTAGTATAAATTAATGTGCTTTTGTTTGCTTTGACCTACCACCTTCAGTAAAAAATTTACCCTTTTATTTGTCAATCCACTGCTGTTTGAAGGCCTCCCCATGCCGTATTGGTGACGAGGGGTTTTTTCACCATATTTCACCACACTAGTCAGTGCAGTTTAGTGGGTGTGGACCAATGGTGCCATGGTTAGTGGCTGGCACTGCCTGAGAGTGATATTTGAACAAGTCCTGGGAGCCCTCACTATATTAAGCTATTGAACGGTCTTTATAAAAATGTACAAGGCTGCATCATCCTTAGGAATTGCCTGAATAGCACCCTCAGTATTTGGAAACAAGCCACTGATAATAAAAAAATTAAAAGTGCCTTATGTTTCTTCGTCTTAAAGTCCAATACATTTTCTCATTGAGGACAACTGTGGCAGCACGATGTGATCCAAATAATGAACAGGCTACTAAGCCAGTAAAAAAAGGCAGTGCTGTTTGGCAGCAGGAAAGTTGTTTCACAAGTAATGCTTTCACATATGCACACCAATCATAATAGTAATTTTTGATATGTTCTTCATTTGATTCTCATAAAAACACGGAGCTCAACAAGAAACTATTGCACGCTGTATTGGTTACTTTGGGGTAGAAACAAGGACTACCTCCAGAACAAACATTCTTTAGGAGAAATGTCACAGTCCATTTTGTTCACTCGTTTTTAGAGTACTGTCATAAAAACTGTTATAGTTCGTTTTACACAAGTATGTAGCAAAATCAATGCATAAAAACGTCAGCTCATGAACGTCATTTTTTCGAAATGACAACATATTTCATTCTAGAATCTGTTACATTGTCAACTACACTTGCTGCAGCATATCTCTCATTTATTATTAATCTCGTCAAACGTTCACATGAAGATTGTATGGAATCTCAAGGGGTTGTTTGCCTGCTGGCTGGGGAAGTAAGCATAGCCTAGTGCATGTGCCTCAGTTGAGAAGCAGAGCTCCACCTGTGAATTGATTCCAGGTGTTGCCACATGTAGTCGTGCTTATTTATTTAGCTTGATCTGGAAGCCAAGAGAGAATGTCTTCAGGTGCTCTGGTTTCCGAACAAACAGCCTGCAATTGGCACGCTACACTGATAGTTGTTTTTTCCAATTCCAAATTCCTTTTGTTGCTAATGTACTTCTCCAAAATGTAATTGTGCACTTCAGTGCGACTGGGAAAATGACTAACACTGATAAACTGCTGCAAATAAGTTTATTCTCTATAATCTAATATAATATAAATATAAATGGTTCTGTACTGTTACGTGTTAAAAAGTACAGTTTTTCTTACAAGTAGGTGGGATATTTATACAGTAAATTTGTGTATTATATCTTCTTGGTTCTTTCGGTAAAGTCACGTAGAAGGGAAGTAATAAAATAATAAAAATAAAACATAATAAAACAATTCTCACAGTGAGAATTGTTTTATTATGTTTATTATTTTATTACTTCCCTTCTACGTGACTTTACCGAAAGAACCAAGAAGATGAATCCCTGCAGTCACGAAAGCTTTAAATCGAAAATTGTGTATTATACTTTTTATCTTGGTTTTTATTGAATCAAGTTCTGATCTTGTCCGTTCTTTGGAACATCAATACTGAAACTGACAGAAATTGAATTTTTTACTTCATATCATATGCTAAGCCTTAGGTGTTTAACTTCAGTTCTAGCATGTAATAGAGTTTGCCGCTAGACTTTTTTGCCGAGGATAGTAGCCAAGGACGCTGATTTATGACAGCCTCAAACTTTTCTCTGTGCACGACACACCTGCTTATCCAAGGCAACTGCCAAATGAGACAAATTAGAACCTTTTAGACGGATTGTAATCACACTTGGTCATCGAGACCTATAAGAGTTAAATCACTCATTCCATCATGAAAAACATTTAAAGCAAAGGCTGCCAGCATGTGTTTTTAAGGGTCGGACAGTAAACGTGCACCTGCATTTAATCTAAGAATGCTTATTATGTGCCAGTAAAATTCAAGCCATTTAGTAAAGCCGTAGCACATTGTAATCTTGGGGGTGTTCCCACGAATGCTATTTGTTTTGCTTAAAGTATTTTGCTTGTAAAATGTGGATACAATTAACAGTTTTTATTTTAAAAAGTATAACCAGAATAATGTTTGGTGTCAAAGTATATGGTTTTATAGTTTTTCTAATTTACAGTTTGAGTAACTATTGATAATATCCTATTATGGTGTCTACAGCTTAAATTGGATATGGTCACGATACAGACATTGAATAGTGCATGTTAAAATCGATTATGTACGATTTATTGCAGATAATATAACTTTGTATTTATACAATTTAGCTTGCTCACATGGATATAAGTTGTTGACGAAGTTAACTGGAATAGAATAATGTGATATTTTTAGACCAACTAACCATGTTAACAATTGGGATTTAGGTGAAAAAAATCTTGTTATCCACCATACAACCTACTATCAATCAGATTCTGTAAAAAAAAATCTATAATGCATATCAAATACAGTTATGCATAGCTTTCTGTCGACTATGAAAATGTATTTAATTCTGTAGAAATTGATGCAGTTATCCAAGATTTTCAAAGGAAGGCCTGAATAAATATGCCTTCAGCAGACTCATGAAACTCGAGGTAGTTTAAATGCTTTGTAGGTGTAGTGGGAGAGAGTTGCATATTATCTGAGCAACCACGGAGAAACACTGCTCTGCCAGGATGGTTCTGGTTCTGGGGCCAATCAGAAAATCTTGGGATGTGCTCCGAAGAACATGGCGCTTCTTCATGGTCAAATGTTTAAGGAGCGTGAAGAGATATGGATGTTGACCTTGAAATATGATGACCGAGTATGACAATCTTGTACACGACTCTGGATGTAAAAGGAAGCCAGTGCAAGGTTTTTTTTTTTTTCACAGTTATGGAGTCCATGTGGCGGTGCCTGATGCCTTTGATGGCACGTGGACAGGTTATATTGGATTAACTGCAAATATGTTTTTCCTGATGACGAGAAAATGATGGCGTTGCAATAGTCCAGACGAGAGCCTATGATGCTGCATGCCATAGTGTTTGCTGTCGCAGCTGTCAGCATTGGTTTGGAATTGCCTTAATACGTTAAGGTGATGATTGCACATCTTTCCTGTGTTTAGTATATGATTATCCCCTGAGAGGGTTGAATCAAGGGCAACAACCAGAATTATCTGGTGGCTAGACGGATGCATGGAAGAGCCAACGATGAGGGGTAGTTTGAGAGATCGTGAGGCCATGGTGAGCCGCTGCTTCGTGCTCTGGATTTGGTGGCATTTAACTCAATGAATTTGACCAGAAGCAGGTTTGCATGTGTTTAATCATTAATGAAAAGTAAATACAGCAATGTACCGAATTAAGAAAGTTTTTATTCAGTGTGTACCACCTGCTATAACATCATAAATAAATACGGTAATTAATATAATATATTGACCTATTAGGTGCATTTAACGTCTAAATGTTTCGTAAGTAAATTTATCATTCTTAAGCTAAATGACTGCTTATGAATAATATACTCGCTGATGGATATAACTCATGGAAATATGTACAGTAACTCTATTTTTACACAAACGTGGCCATTACCATCATTTACATTATTTTTTAACTTGGAACTACATATGCATCAGGTAGTTTAAAGAGGTTCATTACTCCAGGAAATTCCCATAATGTAAATGAGCCATCAGCTTTGTGTTATCGTTAAGGCTGAAGGAAGGCATTGTCAGTAATTAAGAATCTCACCGCTTCCAAAGCATTATAAGAATCTCTATCCCATTAGATGTTGTTGCAAGTGTGGGAAATGTAAAGGTCTGTCACTTGCTTTATTTTATCCACCGTCTGAACAATGATTTGAAGCACAAACGACAGAAGTTACTCCTTGGGTTTTGGAAGGAAAATTAAGTGATACTCATGACAAACAAGCTTTGCTCAAGAGTACTTGATAATGCACCATTATGTATATCATTCAACCAACTATTGTAATGTTATTTACTTTAATTCGTGCAACATTTAAGAATGCAGACTGACTTCCAACCTAACTGGCTTAGCAGATCTAGTGATGTATATCAACTTGCTAAACACACATGCTTCAAGTATGTGCAAATCTCACTATCTGGTCATGCAATGCATCACTGCTCTTGGTGCCAGGATTAAAATCAGGATTAGGTTCATGATAGCTGCACAGGATCTCCTTTACTTAAATTTCATGGGATTTAGTAAAATTTTCTCAGAATTACATGTAAAAGTAAATACCACACTAAGAAGCCTGCCAAACAGCATAACATACTATTTTAAAGAGATTTTAAATTCATGTCTTATCCCAAATGATCTTGTTTGATGGCTTTTGAAACGACGTGGACTCTGCACCCTTTTTCACAAGTTAATTAAATCATATTATTGCCTTCATCTTTGGGAGAATATAGAGACTACATCTATTGCTGTATTGCTTCAGCATATGGTAAAATAGAATTTCTTTCCCCTTTGCTGTCCGTTTTAACCAAAGGAAAGAACTATGGGGTGATGGAGAAATTAGCAATACCAGAAAATACATTAGCAATGGAATAGTGTTCCAGTTCTCAATCTATCCCATCATTTTCAGCCTCTCCAAAACAGAATAACAGGTATGTATTCTCAGCTCGGTGTTAATTACCCTGGAATTAATGAAGGCCAGGAAATAGTGCAGTAAGATTAAAGGGCATTGGTGTTCAGACAAAGTACAGGTAAAATGCATACCATCCTCGACTGCAGAAATAATTCCATAGACAGGTTTTGTATAATAATTTTGGATAATAATTTAAAATCTGGAGATGTGCGCGATTGCAAAGGTTGAAGGTGTGAGATTCGCATCTAGACGGGTATGTCAGTGCAGGCTTTGGCTGCATGTTTCCATGGAAAAGAATGTCAGGAATGTCAGTAGATGGGAGACAACAATGTCACATGATTTAAAAATAAGGATTTTAGTTTTTCTGTGTACTGAAGGTCAAGCTAAGTTTCTTGTTTTTAAACATGATGGCTTATCTCCTGTTTGAACAGAAGCTTTATCCAGATAACAGCTAATGCCTGCCAGTGGGTTCTTTGAACTGCCTATTAAGGAGCTTCAACATTGTCATCTTCATCATGGATTTGCCATCGGCATCAACTGCAGTGTTGGTGCCTATCTCTGCCGTGGCAAGACTTATTCGCCATGAGGATGCGTAAATTCCATCTCTGATTCAGGGCTGCCCATAGACAGCACCTGTAGCCAGCCATAGGCGAGCAAACACAAAAGCCTATACACATGTATAGATTTGGATTTTTGTCTTTGTGCTATGACTCCTGAGGTTTTATTCCCAGCCATGGCTAACTTCAAAGGTGAGTGTGTGAACCAGGTCCTTGGCCTCCCCTAGGGTGACTCAGCCTTAAATGAGCTCCAGATTATGTTTTTGCATCTGGCAATATGTTCAGGAGCTAAATGCCAATGTCTGCTAGCCATGACAGGTCTCAATTTAAGGAGCTTAGACTGCAGTGGTTTATTTACTATGTAGTTCATAGTTGGGGTTTTATTTCCACAGCCACACTGGCTTTTCTTTACTTTTTAAAACATTTCAGGCCTGTTGATGTTCTGATGCGTTTGATGGTAGACAAGTGTGAGGAATGTCAAAGCCAGGAGATGCGGATGGTTGGTTCTCGAATGAGGTGTTTATTCTGGATGGTGACAGCACAATCCCAGAAGGGGAATCAGGAGGTACATTCTTCAGGTCTTGGTTGATGGTTCCTTCTGAATGTGGTGTGTATACATTAGCACTCGGAGACAAAAACAGCAGGGCTTAATGCTGGCCATGTCACCCCCTCGTGGGTTGTGCCAACCTTCATAGGAATAAGCCTACAGCACTTGCCCCAACAGACTGTGTAGGCTGCATGGGGGTCTTTTTTTCTCTGTGTGTGATTGGTTCTCCCATGATGTAATTATGCTGTGTGGCCTTCCTCTGTAGATGTGAAATAGTTAATGTTTATTTCAATGTTAATACGTTATTAAGTGTTAACTAAATGTTTGAGCTGTAAATCACATGTAAATGTAATTAAATCGAGGCCTATATGCTGGTAGGGGTACACATACCTTGATAGGTCTGGGTTAATAGATCTGGTAGGGGGTACGTGACGAGCTAAAGTTTGGGCAGCTCTGGGCGAGCAAGCTGGGAGGGGGGAATGTGCCCCACCCATCCCACATACTATCGGAGCATCCGGCAAACTCTGCAGTCACGAAAGCTTTAAATCGAAATCCATGTAAGTCTCTAATGGATATTTCCTGTGGTGGGATTTCCCGGCTTGCCAATAAACTTGCCATTTACATATAATCAGCACCCCAAATCTTGTTTGGTGTATTAGTAATGCGTTCCACTTTTGCAGAGGTTTGGTTATTTCAGTGTATTTATCTATGTTTATGACAGTGCATTTTGTTCGAAAGATCAGGCATGAAAACTAAATTGAAGGAAGTCTTACTGCAAATTGGTGTTTTTGCTGAAACATTGCTGTAAATATACATTTTATATCCCGATTAAATATTTATGGTCATTGATGGGAGTTGGCTTATTATAGTTTCATGTGGAAACAATATCGGCATGGAGATGATTGTTACTATTGGGATACTGAACGAAATCAAAGCGTTTCCCCTTTAAATGTTTTCGAAAATCACCAAAAATGTATATAACTCTTGCTAGAGTTCCTTAATGACACACAACATTTCCTCTTTTTCTTTTCTGCCATGTACTACTTATTTATTGTCAACCAACATAGATAATTAATATGAAACAAATTAAGTAATGATAATATACAGACCATGAACTGGTGTACCAAGAGTATTGTCAAAGTTCATTAGCAAAGTCAAGGGTTATGAACGCATCCGTGGCTATGCTGTGAAATGTACGTGCCCTTCTGTCATGTTACCTTTGTAAAATAACCCTGGATTTCTTTTATTTTAAATGAGTCTGATAACTTTATTATGTTTTATGAGACAGCTTTGTTTACGCTTAAGGTAATTGTGTACCACTGAGTACGCCTTACTCAGACTGTTAGGATTATATTTAGAAAATATTCCGTCTGCGGGTACAGGCCAATCACAGGAAAGGGTGGTAAGGAAGTCCCGAGAGATTGTTGGGGTTTTCTTGGTTACAAAGCAGACAAAATACACATGGCAAGACTCCTGAGTAAAGACATGATGGTGCAAGTGTGGTCTTCGAGGTTAGGTCACGTGTTGAGCATATATTCTCTCAAGCATCAGTAGATGCATGTAATAGTGTGAGGCAAAAGCTCGAGAGACGATCTGCTAAATACTAATGGTCCAACCCGGAAACGACCACATTCACATTATAAGTGGCTGAGAAAACCATCGTGTTCATGTGATGATGCAGACATATTTTTGGTTCATAATAGAGTTTTTTTTGCGTTTAGAGCGTCTAAATATAAATGTGTCATTCAACCCGCCACTGCCCGACACAGCCAATTAGTAAGGTTTGTCATGTAAAAAAGACATGCCAATTCGTTACTAGTCAGCACACCGGTGTGTTGGAGAGTGAACCCACAATGTTTACGTACGACGTTTCGCCGGGAATTACAACCAGCCTCATCAGCTAGATGTGTGGAGACATCCTCTTCTTGTATCGGTCTTACATTTATGCCTGTCACCTGATGAGGCTGGTTGTAATTACCTATGAAATGTTGTACTCGAATTGTAAATGTTGTGGGTTCACTCTTTATGTGTATAAAGAGTCGGTAACGAAGTGGCATGTTTTGTTTACGTGACAAACCTTACTCATTGGTTGCGTCGGGTGGTGGGTTTAACGACACATCTATATTTACACGATCTTCAAAAAATAACCTGTATTACGGATGATATTGGTTGTGAAAGCCTCCGTGTTATATTGTTGGTTGCATGCTGAAGTGTATGACGTGTGTTTCTCCACAGCTGGCACACTTTGGCTTGTGGTATTCCAACAAACAGCAGCAGTTGCGATGGGTCGACTTGGAGAAGCCTCTTCGGAAGCAGCTGGACAAGTTTGCCCAGGAGGCTTTGCTGCACTTTGGAGTCCTGTTCTATGTGCCCAGCGAGATCCAACTGCAGCAAGAGGTCACCAGGTATGCCCTTGTGTTTGGGTCCTTTCTGCCATTTTACACATGGCTAGAGGTATGCAAAAGCTTGTCTCCAACCACGAAAGGGTGGAAAAAAAACATCAACCTAAATATTAATTCGATATTCAACCATTGTCCATCTAATGAATTGTTATTGATTGGGAATAATAATAATTTGCACTTCTAAAGCACCTTTCACCCGGAGGTCACAAGGCGCTGAAATATCTCACTGGAGCAGCCATCGTATATGTAAACCTGTATGTTCTTATACTTTGAGCCAGATTTTTTTTATGTGAAAAATACCAATACAGTAATATAAGAAAATGCATGTAATACAAGTTACTGTAAAGTAGTTATTTTCCTTTTTTATAGCCAATTTAGACTATTGGACAAAAGACCGATATCTAGATTAGTTAGGAATGCATGTTTATAAGAAACTGTATCAACAAGTAGCTCCAGTGAATATACTATGAACTTTTCAGATATTTGGGAGTAATATTTTTAGACAAACCACCACATACATTCTCCACTACACCCAAAGTTACTGGAGGTGCTCAAGAGCATAGGAGCAGACTGGATGGGGCAGACAGCTGATCTAGTCATTGTGCATGTGTTGAGACAGCAGTAATGAGTCACAGAGAGTCACAACCAAGAATTGTGGAAATATAAGTAACATAGGAATGCTCACTATATATGCCTGCTACTGTTAACATCTGTGTGGAGGGAATGAGGGAGGGAATATTTGATGAAGCGGGAGAAAAATAATGGAAGGTGGAGGCCAAAGGGTCAAGTTAGCCATCCGTTGTGATGACAAAGCCCTTCTGGCCAGTTTTGAAGAGGGGCCTACAGGAGGAGCTCATTGTAAATGTGAACAAAATGAAAAGTGATTTTGGAATGAGAATCAATGTACAGAACATTTAATTACTTAAAACCACACAGCAAGGTGGAAATAAGTGAAATACTGCGCTGGTACGAGAAACAGGACAAGTATCTGCCAACTACTCTGAAAGAAGATAACAGTTGATTTAAGGAGATTAGCATTAGGATTATCATGGAGAAAGCTTGATTTGAGCAAACACCAGTTGATGCTGTGAAGACAGATGAGCACAAATTAAAGGAGAGACTTATAAAGATCCAACTTTGGAGTGTAGTATCATATTTGGCTGCGACATGGGCATTCAGAAGAAGAATTGAATGTTTTGGGATATGAGTGTGGTGTCGAATGCAAACAATAAAAAAAATATAGTTACAGAGTGCTAAAGTGGGTCTAATTCCAAAAATACAGAGGAGGCTAAAGACATAGTAGCCAAGAAGACATCATTCCACAAAGGATTTTAAATATCCTGAGAATCAGCATAATAAATTGTGGTCAACAATAACTTGACATGCCATCAGTACAAAAAGTAATGTCCATAATGCATTACATCATAAGTGCAAGTCTGCTTGTGCAGTGAACTGTGTTTGCTCATGTGGTCTTTACTCCCACCCCAGACTCCCACACCCCATTTTTTCCTGTATGTGGGGTGGATAATTGGTCTCCTAGCCCTCCTTTTAGATTCAGTTATGTCTGCCATGAAGGCAGATTGTGTTGTGACATATTCAACGTATGAAACGGTTCATCATTTTTGTGGGTGGTCTAGCGTATTCTGCTTTTGGCTTATTGAATAATCCATACTAGAAACAGATGTGTGCCGCATCCCTTGGCCTGTTCAGTATAAGAAAAAAATATTCGTATGTCTCCCACTTCTTGTTACTGTAAAATGCATTGCTTAACACGTCCATGCTTAATGGTACCCACCTCTAACCCAAGGGTCCTGTCAGGTCAAAGTAATTTATTGATGGAAATTCCATATTCGTATAGCAGGGGCCAAACCACTGTTGCCTTTCCCACAAAGTTGTACTGATTCTGTCCACCCCGGAGGGATGATTGGCTCAGTCAACCCCCCCCCCCCACCAAGTAGAGGTTTGAATATGCAACCTTCTCATTGCGAGCCACTCCACTCTTCCTGTGAGCCACCCAAACCGAAGAGCTAAAGATGCCTCCGGGTTTATTATTGCAATATTTGTTCGCCTTATAAAGTAAGCGCAGTGCATTTCGTGAATGTTTGGCACACACTTTTTAAAGAGCAGCATGATGGCCACGGTCAGGCGAGCCGCCCGCATGCCTCGCGTGCTATTCCTGCTGCGCGGCGGGTGCCTGACGTGCTTGTCTGCCCTGCTGGAGCCCACCGTGCTCGCTCGCCTGGAATGTCTGCGGCTGCCCTGCTGCAGTAGCAGCAGCTGCGAATCCATCTCTTCCATCACTCATCCGCTTCCATGCAGAATTATTGTTTATAAGTTTCTGCCCCCCCCCCGAACCCGTTTCCAAGGGAGAGAAGTAGCAACAATCACCTGTGTGAAATTAAAGTGGACAGGCGTTTGTGTGTGTGTGTGTATGTGAGGTGTTTATGATGTGTTTATAATAACATGCATGTGCCATAGTGTAGCGGTTAGCGTGCTGCGCTATGAGCCCGTCACTGCCTATACCATTGACGATTATCTGAACCTGTCCTGGGCCTCCCCTAGGTGGAATCGGCCTCAAATTAGTACCTGGTGCGATGTGTAAACATTGCCACTCGGGAGACAAAAGCGTGGTGCTGGCCACCTACCCCCTCGCGTGCCGTGCCGGCCTTCATAGGTGTACGCTAACATTACTTGCCCCAACAGTCTGTTACAGGCTATACGGAATATCTTTAGTATTTATAATATCTTTAGTGTTTATAATATCTTTAGTATTTATAATATCTTTAGTGTTTGTAATATCTTTAGTGTTTGTAATATCTTTAGTGTTTGTAATATCTTTAGACAAGAGGTCTTTGTTACAGGTGAAAAAAAGGCATTTAGTTTACACATACCTTGGGTCTTGTGATATAGTCAGAATCCAACTTCATGATTGATTGTTGATGTAATTAGTTCAATGCAGGATCTGTTTCAATCGGCTCATCGTTGGTGGTCAGAGGTCAGCATGTTTCAAACTTGTATATTTATTTTTATTCAAGGTATTTTTACTACATTGCTCTGACCAGATGTTGTTTAGGTGTGTTATTGTGCAAACATTTACAAAGCAAATACTTTGACTGGTACAGAAAGTTTGCAATGAGAATGTTTTGGTGGGTTGGCTGGCATGACCTCGTTTAACCCTAAATATTACAGGGAGTAAACTTGTCTTGTTAAACTTTGACATGCAAATATTTAGTTTATAGGTACCCTCCGCTCCTTCCCATAGTTGCAAATGAGTGTGACATTTTGACTGTGATTGAACGGATGAACAATACAGTACAAGTATTTCCAGGTGCGTTTTCACCAACTTTTTTCAGTATCTGTTATGCAGTTAAAACTTAGTCATGTCATGAGTCATTGGCATTAGTAGGTGCTAGATTATCTGTCCCATTTGTTATAGTCATCACTTTGACGTAACATTTTCATCCATTTAAATAATGTATATTCGGTCAGATCTGTGAACTTTAAAAACGTAAATGACATTTAACACAACATTTGTCACATGCAGCTACCCATCCAGTGTGGTTTTTTATTGCCTGTGAATATTTTAATAAATTATAAAAGCCACAGGAAAACCGATTGTCTGGATTATAATAAGTCTTTTATAATAAAAGGCTCCGTACGGAATGTCTTTACTTTTGAAACATTGTTTAAACATTCCAATGACTTCCTGAACACTGAGCAGCCACAACGAAATTACTTGAAGCTGACTTTAAAAAGTAACATTCCATATGCGGAAATGTACCGTACATTTTCATAATAATGGAATGTTTTCATAGTGTTTTCAATCGCACTATGGTATAATTTATTGGCTATGCATCAAAAATGTGACATTGGATTGTTGTCTTTAAGTTCATATAAAAGACATTTTCTAATGTTTAAATTAACTAATTTAGACAAATATTTTAGTTACTAAAGAGTAGTGTTCCACTTGTTAAGAAATTACTGCCAATCGTTTTTAGTACGAAAAAAGTCAAAGACATGATTTTACCTGAAGATATGGAGTTAATTTCCCTTGTCATAATGATACTTTATGGCTTCAAATTGTAAAACATGAAACAGAAAAATGTGTATTTCATGCATTTTTTAAAAACAGCTCTGAAGAAGGTTGTATAAAGTCACATCTTTCAACCAGCATCAACAAAGAGCATCTTGATGTTAACATCAACGCCTCTCCTGCAGTTGTTGACATTCCACGCACTTTCAGATAGCCTTGCCCTTTACGCTATACACCTTGAAGTGTGTCGCGTTATTAAAATCAGCACGAGAAGGCAAAACACAAATCCACATGTTCGAAGCATAATAATCCTTCAACTTGGTGCATGCTCCTGCAAGACACATGGTTCACACGCCAAACCCCTTGAACCTGGCACGTGGAGGTTGTTATTATTATTTAGGCGCTGTGCAGGGGTCGGCCTATTTTCATCAGATGATTGGATGCTATTATCTGCTGAAACATTCATGGCTCACTCTGCTTAAAACAAAAAAGCAGCCTGGGGCCGAATGAAAGGCCGGGAATGTGAACGATGTGCTGTGTGCATGGCTGCTCAAGCTGACGAGCAAGATATTCTATTTGAGGCTTTGTCGGCAGGTAATGCAGCGATGATGGATGAAGAGGCCCCATTAAAAGTGCACCCTTTCTCTGGGGTGCGATCCTGCTTTAGCAAGGGATTAGTTTCTAAACGGAATATTGTTTTCCCATTTGGCTGGTAGACTGGAGTAGGCACGTGACTAGCTAGGGGTTTTCTTGGATGTGCTGTGTCGATTGTAGATAATATTTCCCATGTCACCGCTCTGGACAAACCCAGCTGAAATTAAGCCCTGGCTGTAGGTATCTGGCTAATGGAACAAGGCTACCTTTTGATTATACAATGTGGACTTACGATAGCAGATTCTTTTTGAAATAGGGCTCTTTTTTTGTTATCATAAAAAGCCTGCACAATGAACCGTCGTGGTTTTACATCCAAATTTTAAAATGGGGAATAAACTATGCATCAACTTAGGATGAGCATTTTTACAAGACTGGCACAATATCATTGTGGAAATTTAAATAAATTGTGGTTGAGTAAACCTGTGCTCAAGGAGTTTAGTATTTGTTTTTGCCAATCTCTAGTTTGCCTTACATTTGGTTTTGCTATAATAATTAGGTGTGTAATGGTGCATACATCAAAAGCATACTATCAAATGTTGCAAAATTATTATTCAAATAATATATATGCAAAGTATACATCCTGGATAATTGAGTGAACAAACTACAAATTTGACAAGCGTTAAACACTACAAATAATATGCAAAATATTTAGAGGTAATATTTGTTTTTAATTGCCGATCGCTGGTTTGAGGGTGAGGAGGGGGGAGAGAGAATTCACGATCAGAATCTATTTCTACTGGAAGTTAATTGTTACATGCCTCCAAGGACCAGAACATGGATGGATAAAAATATATTTTAGACCCAAATTAGGCATGCATTAATTTCTTGTCCTCTCCCATTATCAAAATTATATGCAGAATGTGTTAAATGATGCTGCAGTGTTATGTTGAAACTGAACGGTGGACCAACACAGCACAGGCACACCTGCAATGTGATGGAGACAATGGGATGGATGCAACACGACAGAATACAATGTGGTCGAATGTCATTGAAAATAAAATATACTATTGATGAGACTGTACAGAAAGAGAGTATAACAGAGAGGACAGCACAAGGGAAGATGAGACAGTTTGTAAATACAGTACTTTAAAGAAACAATACAGTACAGATGAAAGTACACAAAAATACGGTGTGAAAGAGGAAACTGAGTAAAAAAGGCTTAGTCCAGACCAGTCGGTGCACGACAAGGTGGTGCAAACGAGGCGGGATACAAAGAAGAGGCACTTGCTAATTCTCACCTCAACTCGATATAATCGAAATTAGTTTATTTTCTAGAATTATGATTAATACTTTAATCAAGTTGTAAAATGTGTTTTTTTTATGGATGATATTGGTGGCAAAAGCCTACGTGTTAAACTTCTAAAATGTACATAAGTAATTCGATCCCATTCAACATAATGGTAAAAAAAATAAACTATTTAATTGCCACACTTGATGCCATGCATTGGATCACCATGAGATTGAATCATTCTGGCCAGATGCTCAATATAAATACCAATCACTTATCCTTTATGGCCAACTTAAACAATATATTAGTTGCAGTTGTACATACTTTGTGTTTCATTTGTCAGCAAATAAAAAAAATTGGGCTATTAAAGTCAGTGTTCTTACTATCCTAAATTGCATTTACCCTACTTGAACTTATAGACAGTTAAATAAGGATATGTATCACCGATTACTGCCACACTTTACATGTGAAGGGTTCAAATCCTCCATTGTTGGTTTCATATTAAGAAAATACTTTCATGTGTAAAGACAATGCTTTCCACATCGTCACACAAAGCATAGTTTTTAATAATAATATTTGTTTTAATCCCAGCCTGCATTTGGCGTCATGCAACTCTGCACTAATGGAATTCAATATGGCAATTGCAATGACGTGTAATCCAATTAAGCTGTGCTTAGGGAGTACTGTGGGGCCCGCTGGTCTGCCTTGTCCTAAAGACATTGGCCTTGCTATGAACATAGCACACCTGGCGTTTACACCAGTTACGTGAGGATAGCGCTACATTCAAATTAAGGGATTCAGAAAATGCAAGCCTGAGCATCACGTTGACCCTGCCTTGCAGGTTTGCTCTGGATTGGTTGTGAACTGGGATCGCAATCGGGGGTTAGATGTTTGACAATGCTTGCTGGAAGCGCATGGGGCAGCTCCTCTAAGAAAAGCGCTTGTGAGCAGGGCTGTTATTGGAGATGGAATGCCACTGTCATGCACCCATCACAAAGTGCTGCACTTGTAAATCGTTGGAATTAAGCAATGCTCATGTTGGATGCAGATATGCGTGCTTGCTAACAGTATATACTACTCTGAAAAAGAACGAATACTGCACTGCATCTGTTGTCTCTGACTTTATTTGTGCTGCACATGTTAAGTAAACTTTGTTTTAAGAAAGTGATTAACTTGACGACAGGTATGCTTTCAAAGATATCTGTCCTTATAAGACATGAATGGCCCTCTCTTTATTTTTAAAGGCAGCCCGTGTGAACTTATATAGACTATATTATAATTATCTGGAATGCAGTATGCTGTGGTAATTAATAGTAATAGCCAGTGATAATTACAGTCTAATACATTTGCTCACAGTATATCTTTAGAAATACTGAGAAGTCACTTTATAAAACTTTTAAATAAGCCTAGGATAGCATGCAGTGTGCTCCTCAAAGTAGACCCATAAGCACATGGAGTTGAATGTCAGGAACTAAAATCACCTCCGTTAGAGAAATATTTCGCACCATGAAAGCCTTAAACTTGGACTCTCTTCTATATTCTAGAAAGATGCAACATCTGTTAAAAAAAAAACCCTGCTGTGGTTAACAAAAAGAGATTTGTTATTGTTGAGAAATTGGTCAACATCAAGGGGTACATTAGAAAGTGCCTAGCCTGGTTGATAAATCTGAGAACTATTGTCCGTAACAAAAATGTAGTTGTATTGGATGCAAGACCATTGCAACAACATGTCCTAAAGATTGTCAATAGGCTACAAGTTGGCAACTGGTCAGGAAACCTTAACCTTGTGGACCAACACGGAAAAGCACACAAGGAATGGAATGCGTCACAGTTCTGGGATGCTGGAATGGAGATGGAGACCAAGCCACCAGCTTGACAGAATTTTTCTCAGAGGGATGTGCTCTTGGCAGCAACAGGGGATTCTATGCATACGCATTGGCTGCCATAAAATGTTTGAAGCAACCATGAAAGTATGGGTTGCTTTTTTGTTTAAATGCCCTTTTCAGATTAGAGAAAATCCAGTAAGCTGAAAGCAGCTTGAAGCTATTAGTTTCATTATTCGCTGTTATTGGAGGGGGTTTTTGAATGCCTAGTTTGTGTTCTAAATCTGAGGTATAGAATTAGTCGTACAATCATTTGTTTATTTATCCAGGGAAGCGTCTTTGAGTCTTGAGACTTCTCTCTGGAAAGGACATGCATTGATATGTTTAAAATATTTTTAAATACCTATTTTGCATATGAGAGGATATTGGAGTACATGCATAAATCCACACATGAGGGAATTTCACTTCAGTCTACACGGATGGGTTAACAACCCACTTCCTGTCCTGTTATTTCCTCAGCCTGGCAGGGTTAGGATTTTCACAAGTCTGTGATCCACCAGTCCCGGTCTCCGGAGTTCTTGATTGCTGGTGTATGCTACCCTTCCTGACTTAATGCATGACTGGTTCACTCAGAGCCATTATACTGTGGTTTATGTTGGCCAAAAATCTTAGCCTACTGCTGGCATTAACAAAAAATTCACGATCATGCAAACAGCACTGTTGTGACGGTAATGACAATGAGTCCAAGCTCCACCTGTGTGCGTGTGTGAAACATTTCCCAGGACAACCACTTCCTCAGAACTTGTTTGACAGATCAACACAGTGAAAATGTTTATTCATCTTACAAGCCTTTACATTATTCTGTAATTTTAGTCTTTTTTGTGGGACATGAAAATGTAGCTTTTTAAAACTAGTTTTTGGTTTATGTTTTTGTCATTAACCTATAACCTGTAGGTGTGTGTTTGAGTACTGCATTAGATATTAATATTATTTATTTAGATGTATAAGCTGCATTGATTCTTATGACTATCAGCAGGGCCCTGTATGGATGTTTGACAATTTTGTATTGTGGACAGTCTAAATTATGAAACTTATAGTACCAAACAAAACAATTACTAAAGGTAATACCATTGACACATTAATACAGAAGTGTTCATAAATCATTTTATTTCCTTGCCATCTGGCCATCTCACAGCCTAATTTGTGGGGGTTGTGATCCATCAACATTACTACATTGCAGTACATTTGAATTATATTTAAATATTGTTTTTCACGAGACTGGCACATACGTATCACTAACCAGGACCTACCAATCATTCTGTGCCCAGTGCAACTTCCAGAGCTGGGTCCAATGGTCCTCTAAACGAAACTCTACCCTTTTTGTATTCTTCCACTATGAAAGAGTCTGGCTTCAAGAAAGGCATTACAATAATACCATCCCTGTATTTCGTAAAACGTATGCACACACACAGATACATCTTGGAGAAATTGCAGTAACATCTTATTGTATTATTGATTGCTCACAGATACCAATATTACCTCCAGCTGAAGAAGGACATCATTGAAGGAAAGCTGCCATGCAGCGTGGAACAGAGTGTCCGGCTGGCCAGTCTCGCCGTGCAGGGTAAGCCAGCAATTAATCTAATTTAAATCGAATCTAGTCCAGGCTAACTTAAGCCATTGTTTATATACCAAAGCTTTGTGGTTTTTCTCTTGGGCTCTGACAACAACTCCAGCGCTCTTAGAATTGAATATAGGTAGATTAAATTATTGTTGCCTTGTGTTAATCGATCATTATGAGTGTGATCTTGTATCACTTCTTCAACGTGGCACTGCCTTGACTTGGCGATGAACATGGAAGAATTTGTAGGCCTGAATAGCTATACTGGATATGGACACAGATGCCAGTCAGGTACGCGGTGAGAGGTGGGACAGTGTGCTTCTTTTATCAAATCTGTCAAGCGGTCCCCATGACCATCGCAACTAATCCATGTATGTATGTTTCATTTATTTCGCACCGTACATAGCCAACCGTGCAAATTGGAGGTATACGCCTCCAGTATCCAACAGCTCTCGATCCACCAACGTTTTGTCTCGGGTTAACACATTTTTTTTCCATATGCCTTTAGTCTGCCTCTGGGCTAGAAGTATAGAGAGTTGATGATGTGGAACATATTTTTTTAAAATTGGTATACATGAGGGACCAAAACTTACGATATTTTTCATGACCAGACAATGAGTTATAAATTGTTGTTTCATCTTCAGCAACAGAGTTATGATTTTACAATATTGTATTTGAATTGTAAATGCATTTTTATTCTTTGCTTGATTTCCAGTTGTTATATTTGTCATTGTTAAGACTGTTTTTATTTTAGAATGTCATCACCTGCAGTAAGGCTGTACTACTTCAATACTTTAATTTCTCTGTCATGATGTGAATATTTATCCTTTCTCCCTAGCTGATTTTGGCGACTATGACCAGTACCAATCCCAAGAATTTCTTAGAGACTACATCTTGTTTCCAATGGTATGTATCGTTCCTCAGTCACAGTGTTCAATTTGCATACAAACACTCGCATTTTCTGATGTTAAGCAGTGCACAGGATATAAGAGACAATTTTAATGTATCAACTATGAACAACCTGCGCTTTAAACCAATTATTTGGTGACTGTGGTATAGTTGATGCACAAGCACAAAGAACAAAAACTCAACACATTTGCCAATGGCACGGCTTTAAAAGCAATAGGTATAATAGGGCACCTTTCCAGTAGTCATTCCTCATAGCTTAGAGCTATATTTTATGAAGATCTAAGTGTTACAAAGTAGGGCCATTGCAAAAAAACGTAACCTACTATATATATTTTAATGCAGTGTTATTGATTAATGTGAGTATTTGTGCTTGAAATTAATTTACAATACCTATGTGACTACCGAAAGAACCAAAGCGTATGGATTCCGGCAGTCACGAAAGTTTCAAATCAAGATTGAAATTAATTTGTTTAAAAACACATAAGTAACGTGAGGTGTTGCAATCACTGCAGTTCTACTACTGCGTAGGTGATCATAGTTGTGCTCTATAGCTCTCCGATGTTTTTTCGGGTTTCACCGCTTGTTGTTCGGCACATACTTAAGACGCTGCCACAACGTGGAGTGAAACGGTAGACATGCTGAACAACACGTGCCACAACCCAAAACCACATCGGAGAGGCGCTGCAATTTGTAGTCTTTCAGTTTGGATTGCATCATGTTGTATCTTACTCAGGTGTGGGCACAGGATGACAGCCTACAGGAAGAGATGACGGTTAAAGTGGCTATACAGCATCAAAACCTCAGGTAACCATGCACCTTTCTACCTAAGATACATATGTATGTTGAACTTTTGTTGCACCGTACGTAGCCAACCGTGATAATCAGAGGTGGGTGGAAAGGACAACACCTAATTCCGCCAGTGCAATTACTAACTGCTTTGGCAAGGTGCATGATAAGGAACCAATAATAGGTGAAAGGCATAGTTACAATAGTTGAGTCACATGGCCTGTTGGGATTGACTTCCCCTCGAGATAGCATGTTCACCTGTCGTGCTTGTTGCAGAGTTTCGCGGTTTGAATAATTCTAGGGGTGTATTAACCGTAAGAATATGCGCCATCTTCTTGACACTGGACGTTAAATATCCCGTGACGTCATTCACAAGAGGAGACCATTGTGTGCTGGCGTCTTGTACCAAATTTGCCAAAAAATTAAATAGACCCGCAAATCACTCAATTGGAATATAAATAGCATTCAGTGGCCTGTATTATGAGAACTTGGTGAGGCTTTCCCCTGTAAACAAGCGTCATAACATCCAGTTTCTTTATTGCCTCGTTGGTTAATTGCCGCTGCAGGAAACATGGAAACCCTTGTTGCATCACTGCACCCTCCCCTGGATTTTAGCTTGTTGTGATAGGGTCAATAAACCAGCGTTTTCATGTGGCCTGTGAGTGGAAGAACAAATATTTACTTGTGCAGTCAGCGTGTGCCCACGGGCATAGTTCTGTGCGCATAATGTGGGTTATTGAAGCTTTTGTCCACATTGCAGTGTCGCACCCACAAGTCGTACTGCTCAGGACACGATATGGACCTTTCAATTTAGTGTAATGAATACTTTACAATTTACTCATCCTAATGTTCGCAAAGATGTTTCACAGCGTATACACATCAGTCTTTACAAAACTTACTTTAATGTAAGTTGATTCTATTCAATTTGCTACAGCAACAGGCCAAAAACCTGAGTGCAGCTTGGAGACTTCCAAGGTCGCAGATGCAGTTAATATGAGTATATAGCAAGCTATTCCTTGTGATAGTAGCATCACTTAAAAGTCACCTTCATATCAAAGATGTTGAAGTTCTTTTGCACCGTATGTAGCCAGCTGTGCTAATCAGAGGTGCAGAGGAATTGTGAGTCACGTTCTACGTCTCGTCGTGTAACGGTTTTCACACTTACGTCGAAGTTATTTTGCTCCACGTTTATTTATACTGTGGCACTGTCTTACGATGCTGTTTTAAATTTAGTAAATACATCTAAATAAGGCTAATGGTGCTTGAAATAGGGTGGAATTTAGACGCTAATTGGATTTAGAGCCCAGTACTCCCCATGCTATGCGAGTCGTGTGTGTAGCTCCTGGCAGCAAGTATAATGTCACTATACTACTTTTCAAAAGTGTTACTTGTCAGGTGATAATGATCTATCCCACGCATTCGGTATATGTATCTTCACGAGTTAAAGTGTCTCTATTCCCAGGTAATTGATACAACTATTGTAATACCATAAATGTTAATATGAAGAAAGCTTAATTATTCACACAGTGGTCAGTCACCAACATGGTCCGAACATAGACACGAGAACACCGTTCCAGTGCCCAGCACTCAGGGAACACAACCAACGCATAAAACATAGTGCCTGCTCATTAAATTAAGACTGTATACACGTGCTGTATACACCCACGTGACCTGCCCAGGGCCATGTTCCTCTGTTCTCCAGATAATCAATAAAACTGTTGTATATGTCATAAACTTTATTATAAAAAGCTTATATTTTTTCTATGTAGAATTTATAAAATGTTTTACTTATTCTTGTTACGTTTGATGAATTGCTCATGTAAAACTCTGCAATCTGCATGCGTTCTTTATACTTATGTCACTGTTTTTTCAGCAAAGTGCATGAAAAAATTATCGTTCGGCATGTACAATGCATGTTTTCATCGGCCATTCAGATAAAGAGGCTGTTAGTTGCATATGATATACAAAGCCTTCATTAACTCGTCACATGCATAAATATATTGAATATCTGGCACAGTAAAAACATTAAATTAATAACAAAAAATATTTAACCTTTTAAAAACATCTATAGGTACGATTTGTTTTAATGGTGTGACACTTTTATGAGTTCAGAAATCGTGTGATTTTAACCTTTATATGTTTAATAAAGCCTTTGGTTTGTGAGAGCTTGGATTGAAATGCCTTTTCATTATTTTAATGTTTCTCTGTATGATATCCACTGGATGCCCTGTGCAAAATGCTGCAAGCTAATACATGTTTTTATGGTTATTATTAAGTTTCTATATATTGGTGATATCAGCAGTGCATATTGGTATTACAAAAAAAAGATCTTCGGCTTGCGAAAATCTACTGCAAACATATTAAAGAATTTAATTTGTAGGAGATAATAATTGTCGAAATTAAAGCCTGTCTCGGTAAGCAGCATCAGCGGTCTCCACGAATCGGGCAATGAAGGGAAGGACCTAAGAGAAGATTTGTGGGACACTGTTAGGGCAGACCTTGGGGGTCATCTGTCTACTTTTCAGCATCGGTGGCATCTGGCAGAAGAGAGAAAGCGTTGCAAGGTGTGATGGCATCAGAGGCCCTTGGCCATGATGACATCTTGATCTTGAATTTAAGTATTGTTTATATCGGTGAATTGTTTTTGAATTCAACACCAACATATTTGTGCGTTGTTCTTCTTCTAGGGGCCTGATAGCAGAACAAGCTGAACTTGTCTACATCCGAGAGGTGGAGAAGCTTGACGGATTTGGCCATGAGAGTTTCCCCGCCAAGGTGAGCCTCCTTTACATGGTTGAGACTCGTATAGCTCCGCTAACTTCAATTTCTCTGTGATAGAGGAACAAATGATTCTGTTTGAGGGTGCTCATTAAGCTGTTTGAAAACCACACGTTGCTTCCCTTCACACGACGGCCGTTTGGGGAACCATCTATGAAACCCGCGTGGTGTTGTTCGCGCTGCATGGGTATGCGGAGGCGTGGTTTGCGGTTTCAAGCGAGGGTGTGCCAAGATTATAGGCACAACTGTGCAGTGTGGAAAATGGGGATGGGCCTATGAAAATGGGTCATTCAATGCACACATGCACACACACAACACCCTGCGCTGGAATGGTCTTGCCACGACTCCAATTAAGCTTGCTGTGCCGTATCATGTAGAAGCATGAGGCAGTGTGCGCATTGACTCATTGAAACGTGACCTCTTGCTCCTTGTCACACCTAAATGTCACCCTCAACTCGTGGTCTCTCAGTTGAGGCTGTGTTCTGTTTTAAAGTCATACAGGTTCACCAGTTTGGCCATGTCTGTATTTCAGTCACAGTTATTGATCATGGTTGCGCCATTTTATGAAACAATATTCTGTCAACAGTTAATTTCATAACTGTTTTTACTGTTTCACGCTTAAGTGGTGTCTTTTTCTGTCATAAGGTGTATTTTTTGTTAAACACAAGATCATTTACAAACTCTGGCACACAAGGGAAGAAATATGGGTATTTCTCCTCACCATATCTTCTTACAATATTCCATTGTAAATATATGCAATTGTGACATTTTCAGTGTTTGGTTGACATCAAAATGCTGTATTCATAAATGCAAGCCATTTCTAATCCCTGCATTATTTTAAATACTTGTGTATATAAAAAAAAACACAGACTAATTGGAGTTTGTTTTAAACTTATGATTACAAACTATTATGGGTTTATTTGTGTATGCTGTTTTTTTCTGTGTAGGAGAGTACGGGAACTGACCTTACCATAGGCACAGCTTTCCAAGGAATATTTGTGAAGTACAAAAGTGAAAAACCTCCAGCTCTATACAAGTAAGCAGTTGAGCTCATTCTTCACAATTACTTGTTGTGCGTCGTCATTCAGAATATACAAAATGCCTGTAATCAGTTTTTGGTTTTGTGAAAATATCCATGCAGTGACATTTATTGTTTATTCGTTCCGAACATTGTTCATGCAACTTTTAACGGACGATAATTTACGTTGATGTTGTTAGTCTTCACTGTGCAAGAGAATTTTTATCTGGAACGTATAAATGTGGGTGACTGAGGAGCTTGTATTAAAAACTAAGCGAGCCATATATTAATGCTCGCATGTGTATGTTGTTTCAGATGGAGCGATATCACAAACGTTACTCACAATAAGGCCTTTGTTGGACTGGAGCTTATGAATAAGGAGGAAACGGTGCAGTTTCAAACAGTGGGTTGCTAACCGATACCCGGTCACTGTTTCTTGTGAATGAACACTATTGATTTACATCACTTTTTATGTTTTTGCATTTTTGGTTTATAATGTTCTCATTTGTACTGATTTTTTGTTTGTTTCATTTTGTAGGATGATATTGAAATGGCAAAGTACGTTTGGCGAATGTTTTCACTCAAGCACAAATTTTTCAGGCTGAACAAGAGTTTGATGGAGTAAGTGTGCAGCTGTAGACTATTGGGCTTCCAAAATGTTTTCTTGCTTTCCATTTCCATCTTATTATTTTAGCTTAATTTCTGAACGCGTTTCAATCTCATCAGCTGCACTTGCAATATGCCAAGCTCTTTCATTCTCATAATTGTATTTGTTGTTTGTGTCTATTGATGAAGAGCATGATCTTATGACGTGCAAACTCTACGGTCTGTTGTTGGCTACTTACGGTGTGAAGGAAGTTCAACATACAAGCACATAGAAGCATCACCCGAATTTTTGCTGATTAGAATGTATATTTTAAGCCAGTTTTTTTACTCTACAAGCAATGCATTGTTTAATGGAAGTTATTTCTTCTCGAAATTGGTCTTTGAATATTAACATTTGTGAATCAAAATTGATTAGGTGTCATCTCTATTCTTATATGAACATTAATAGTTTTGGGTGTTCTAAAACATGTTGATGTTGTCTTTGGTAAAAATGGCATTGGATGACATTTACTTATTGGGATTTCCAATAACTAGTACGTTACGTGTCAGTAATGTTATTGTTATTTTGTTGACTGTTAATTGTAAAATGGTTTAGCGCCGAGTTAGTTTTTAAGATACATTTTGCTTGCACTTCATCTCGAAAGTTTACAATGAATAGCAGTTGTAGGAGCAGTCTTTGAGAGTAGCAATAGATCAATAATGTTCTCCTCTTGGTGTAATTACTTCTGTGTAAGATAGAATATCACCATGGAAGTCTGTCTCCTTTATGACAGTTAGTAATCTTGTCTTTTGTTGGTTACATTCTTTACATTTGAAAATGCAATGTGAACCATTGTGGTGCACTGCACGTGCGCGCTTTCAGCGTATGCGTTACTGTTTGAGAATGTGGAGATTGTGGCTGTGTAACATAGCACAGGCACCTTCTGTCAGACACAGCTCAGACATCATTAATCCTCTTTATTGCAAATGCTATTTCCCTATCAGTGGGCTAGTTAAGTATTGGGATCGTGCTAGACAATCTCTAAATGAAAACACAATTGAAACTCCAGTAAATAAAGAATTGTATAATAATAAGATAGGAAACAAGTGTTTTTTGGAAGGTTCGCAACAGCAATACTATCATGTCCTCTGGCTACAATGATGCAACACTTTTTGAAAATTGGTGGGGCTTGATGCGTCCCTGTGAACCGTTGATGTCCGTGTCGGTGTTGGCCTCTGATGGTGGTTTTTCTACATTCGTGTTGGCACCCATGTTGGTTCATATTTTCGACAATTGCATTCTTTCCTCCTGTGAGGCTCTGTGACTCTGCTCCACTGCATCTTCGGAACACATTCTTTGTTATCCGCTTTCCTTCTTGCTGTGCATCCTTCGCTGGTGTCTGCTCCACTGTTCTCTCCTCCTGTGCCTACAGTACTGGGTCATGTAACAATCATCTGCTAAAGGATGGGAGGCGGAAATTGGCTGTGTTCTCTACCTACATGTAAGCTTTACTATTCCTCCATTTCTCTTAACATTGCATATAACCTGACGACTGCTAACTGCTGCTTCTTCTGTCCCTTATCCATTCTGGTGATTTTTTTGGGAAATCTTGTTTTATGGTTCCAGGTTCTCTGCTTTTAAATACTGTACTTAATGTTGCGTACTCGTGCTACAGCATGCCTCTTGACAATGGCATCGGACGCGTTTTGTACAACTTATTAAATTATCTACCTCTTAGCGTCAGCATTTTAAACAAATTTGATGAAAATCAAATGAAAAGTATTTTTTCTGTGTTGCTTTATTTTTTATTACCTTGCTATATCTGATGGAATATCAGCTCTGAAATACACAACTTAGTGATGTCACGTTTTTCAATTGATTACTTTAACCACTTTGTTTAACTCAAGCACCTTGTGTAAAGTTGGGCTCATTGCCAACTCAGTTTCACAGAGGCATTGGTTACTGGACCTCTGAATGGTAAATCTTTACTTGCATTCGCCCATTCTCAGCCAAGTGCTTGTACAAACCAGCTGGAATTCCCAATTCACAAATCATGGTGCATTGTATTGTGTCTGTTTATAAGCAGAGACAATTACAAACCAGATGGCTCATTCTTAAATTGAAACCCATACTCAATAAAAAAACAAACTGATCCATCAAGGAGTATGTTAGTGCTACATTAGATTCATACTCAGTGATGTTGACTCAAATGAACGTCTTTATTCATGGTTCTGGTTCTACTCGTGATATTTTCACTCACGCTCTTTGAAATTTGTGGTCATATTTCTATGATTGCAGCCTCAAGGGTTACGAATGTAATCAACCCAACCCAAGTGGTTAACTGGCAACATTTTTGTTTTCAGAGTTAGCCATAGGCAACTCAAATTAAAACTACGTTTGTGCAGAAAAAAAAGCTCATTTTGCATTAGTCATTGCTTTGTCAAAGCCAAATTATATATTTATATATATTTATTTATTTATTTCATGGCTCCCTGTTGCTGGTTGTATTGACTATTAGTTTGTTACCATCAAATACCTCTTGTATCTTTGGTTATCATTCTAAATCCTAGCTTTCTGTTTTATATTGATTGGATATTTTACAGTGAACAAGTTTGTGTTTTCATAAATAACCCACAATAAAAAAAAGTTCCTGCCCAGCACAATCTGTGCAGTTGAACTGCGGTTTCATAAAAAAAAAGTCTTTCCTAAAGCTCAGTGTTGCTGTCCTAAAGATGTTTACGGGTTGTGATTTACTATTTATTGTATGTTGCCTATTCTCTGATTGACCTTTGTATCTTTGTAGGCAAACACAGAATACTTCTCCTACGCTTATCAGGAGAAGGTCGACGCTCACGCGTTCATCCATGGTACGTTGCTTGGAGAGCAAAAGTTACGTTTTTTGTGAACTACAAGATAAACAAGTTTCTGGTTTCTCACATGTGATGCCAGATATACTTCATGGAGATATTTTTTTTTAAATCGACGCGACTCTTGTTTATTAAACAGTGCGCTTCTCTTTAAAATCTCGATAGTTTCATACTTTTGTTTATTCAGTAATACAAATAAGCATGTGGGTATCCTCCATTGCTATGACATCCCATCCTCAACCATCAACTCTCTACTAGTGGATGAAGGGCCTGCTCAACCTGGTGCCATTGCTCACAGACTTGCAATGTGCGATAATCCCCCTCGCTCCTGTACATGAGCTCATAATCTCAGCACTCTATTCGCATGGCTGGTGGTTTTTGAATGTTTCTTCATATGCCTGCGTATTTGTCACCAGTGTCGTCCATTGGCCGTCGTCCATCTTAACTATGTGTCTCTGCCTAAGGTCGCATACTTCACCATCGGTATGCCGTCACTAGCTTGCCTCTGTTCTCTAGTCCACGTGCTGCTCTTCCTGTCTCGCCGTGTCATTGACAGCATGTATTGCTCTTTGTATTTTCTTCGGTTTTTGCTCAGTTTTTCTTTGTAAGTGTACATTTTTACATTCAATAAGTTGCAGCAGGTAAAATGCATTGGTTAAAAAAAGCATTCATTTTTTGCACATTGACGTAATTTGGTACGCTCTAAAAGCATCTGTTTTATTCAACAGCAGAGGCAGCAGCCGTACATCATGCCTCCCATGCAGATGCAGTACAATGAACCATACACAGAAACTCACATGTCTTCACAAGGTATTTTTATTCTTTGTTCCAGTGCAACTTTATACAAAACAATGACTATATTCAAACATAAATGTTTTCTAAATGGAATAGAAATGTTTAGTAATTACATTTTCATAGTAATTTCAGATGTCGTGTTTTTTTTTACTTTCACCCATGTTACACGGTAAACGAGAAGCTATATTACCTTTTGATGTAAACATTATTTTTGTGCTTACGTCAAGATATGGTAAAACACTGCCTATGGGTTCCAGCAGCTTGTACATTCTGCCATAATTAAATGATTTTATTATAGTTGCATTTTTATATTATTGCTGCTTAACTGCTTTTGATGCCAATTGTGCTGTCTGTTATGAATCTACATAAGGTTGTGAAGAAAGTATCGTTGTACAGCATTCTACAGCATTGCCAATGAAAGCCTTCTTAATCCACTTGCATTGATTGTCATTTTAAAATATATTGAATGATCATTTCAACATAATGTTGTATTGCACACATGCTTGCTTTATTATCTTGATCGTCCTAACATGGCCAGACTATTCTGTGCACGTTTGCACTCTTGTGTTGGAGAGCACTTGTGTGTTCTTATCCCAGTCTTACATTTGGAAATGGTTTCTGTGCTCTCTGATCTGAATACAAATTTTTACATCTTTAATTTGACAACAAACTTCAGTTAAATATATTTGACACTCTAATGCAAACCTGTATTATGAGTTTAAACAGCTTAGTCTAACTGTTCCGGGGTTTTCCCCTCGTCTGACTACAGACAGCATCTACCCGGGGCAGCAAGATAACTTCTTCTACCGCTCCGAGACCAGCCTGGATCGATACCCCCTGGAATATGCAGGGCAGCAGGTGTCCAACGGCAAGGTTCCCAATGGCAGTGTCTATAGTGCTCCCAGCCTCAACTCCCTCAACAATCACTCACAGGCAAGACATCTGTCTATTTTGTTTGTCCCCTTCCCCCAATGCATGTACAGCCCCTTTTTTGTCAATCCACGATTGGATGAGGACCTCCCCACCTGAAATGCTTCATCGCTGGTCGGTGTGGGTCCGCGAAGTCGGGGAACATAGGTGTGCGCTGTACCATAGAAGTATAGTACAGCACTAATAGTAATACAGTTTATAACGTACATTTTCACAAAAAGGCAAAACAATTTCCAGTCGCGACTCGGGAGCGAACTTTCCGCTACTACCCACAAAGTAGCGAAGCCTTGCAACTACCTATGCCAACCTGCTGTGCATAGTGGTGGTCACTCTTCCAAGCACTTCATAGGCTCACCCATCCTTAGCTGTTGAACCTTATGAGATTAGCCACTTTCTGGGTTGTATGGTCATCGACTCCCTAATTTTTATGTTAAGTAAATAAATCAAAGGAACGTGTTCAGCAATGTATAATGCTAGGTAGGATAAATAAGTGCATAAGTGCATATTGGTCTACAGCTCTGAAGGTGATGAGAAAACAACTGCATAGAGTTAAATGGCAGGTTTTGTTGAGAAATAAGTTAGTCTTTTGTCAGTCAACTTCTGGATCAAGACTTCCCTACGGTGTGTGACTCACTTCATTGGTCAGGACACTTTGGTGAAGGGGGGCCCAGAAATAGTTCAGATACTGCTATAAATGTGGCCGGGAGTCAATCTCGGGTCACAATTAACTAACCACTTGTTAAGACTTCAAAATAATTCTTGGAGCAAGCTTAGGGTTATTAAAAGTTAAGTTTCCATACTCACAGCTGACTATGTTTGCAGTGGCAATAGCTAGGCTTTGGCTCTACATTTAAATGAATGATTAAATAGCTTTGCGAGCCAATTGTGATTAATCACGTTGGCCACGCCTGACATCTGTGCGCACAACCCAGTCCTGCAAGTTTGGTTAATTTAAAATGGAGAACTTTCTCTTTGATGACATCTATACGCAGCATCGCTAAGGTATGCTGACCCCCACCCACCCCACAGCCCAACCCCCCCACCCCCCATACGGCAGGAATTCACATTCTGCAGTGTTTTGCAAAGCAGCACAAACGAGCTCCATCATGTTCTCAGTATGGCTATAAATGCTTTACATTATATCACCATCGTCATCATCATCATCACCACTGCCCATATGCTGGGAATTACACTGGGCAGTTTAATACAAAATAACATCTGAGTCGCATACAGAGTCATTTAGCTCTAGCAAGTATTTATGATGCCATCCTCTTCTAATTTTGTAAACAAGAATCATGCTCCACATACATCCATGGCATTTGCACATGGTGACTCACTTGTACATTTTCATTAGCTATTACATGTAGGCACACAGTAGCAGCCCAAGTTTGCCGTTTGGTTTATCCCAGTAGCGCTATTTGGTGGCTGGTCATGGATTCAAACCTGTAAATCCTGAAATAAACAGCAATAGCACTGATCACACGGCAATTCAGAAACAACCTTTTATCCACTGCTGTATGAGGGCATCCCCACACCCACACTGCGGTTGTGGGATTTCTTTGTTGTTGACAACACTTCTACCACACTACTCAATGCAGGTTGTTGAAGGCGGGAAGTATAGTTCACTACAACAATGTAACTCCGCAGTAACCTAAAACACCCGCAATCACCAAACACCATCAAAACTCAATATTACTTCGCTTTTGATATCTAGCCTAATTGGGCACACTCCATGTGATCTAGTCATAGGCTTGTTCCATTTTATAATTTCTAAATTACTCTGATGTAATCCATACTCGCAGGGTTTTCTGCAACAACAACAGCAACAGATGCAGCAGCAACAGCAGCAACCATCACCAATCTCGTCCAACCTGAGCATCCCGGGCAGCGAGGTTCTGCTCATGCGGCCCGACTACGTGCCTAGCCACCGGCACAGCGCCATCATCGTGCCATCGTACCGACCCACGCCGGACTACGAGACGGTGATGCGGCAGTTCCAGCGCTCCGCAGCCTACCGCATGGAGCGGCACAGTCAGTCGCTGCGTAGTCTCAACCTGGGCAGCGCACATGCGTACGCACAGCCCGAGGGCCTGGTGTACAGCCAGCCTGAGATTCGTGCCGACCACCACGGGCAGTACCCTCAGCAGCAGCAGCAGCAACAGCAGCAGCAGCACCACCACTACCCTCTGCAGGTATGCATGTAATGCACACAGGAAATGCGATGGTTAAGAATAACTCTGTGAACACAGTAGCTCTTTTGAAAGCATGACTTTGTTATGTAGGTGTTGAAAGTATTGCAACAGAACGGTCCTAAGTTTATATACTTTATGCCAATGTTATTCTTTACACATTATTCACTTGTTTATTTTACTTTAAGTTGAGGTTAAACTTATCGGTCGATTTATGTGTACGTATGATTCTCTACCTCCGTCCCGCCATCACCATCGCAGATGAATTACAGTCACCCGATGCAGCCGACATACTTGGGCACTGGCGGTCACCCGTGCTCCTACAACACACCGGCAGCCAGCGCCATATCACACACGGTCAGCACGCCCGAGCTGACGCAGGAGGCCCACCCTGCCACCGCGCCGCCGCCCCCGCCACCGCCGCCGGCGGCACTACCTCCCTCTGGGCCCCCTACCCAGCATCTGGTGCCAACCTTGCAGCAGCAGCAGCAGCAGAGCTATGGGAACCCTGCAGGCCGTATGCTGCGCGGTCTCCTCTCCTCTCAGTCACAGCGGCACCCGCAGCAGCCTCCGCCTATGGCGGCATCGGGGCCACCGCCTCCGTACCCACGGCCGCGCCCGGCTGCCAGCACACCCGACCTGGTTGCCCACCAGCGCGTGTGCAGCAGCAACCCGGACCTGGTGAGCCGGCGCGTGCTGCACTCCGTGCAGACCTTCCAGGTGAGCGGTGCTGTGTGAAGCGGTCAGTCGGCAGAACAGCGTCATTTATTCCATTGGGGCTCTTGACATAGCAATGTTTACCCGATTTTTGACATTAAAACAAAAAATCTGAAAATAAGGTCAAGATATGAATTTTTGGATGGTGTGCTTTATTTAAAATGTATCTGATGGTATGATGTCATAAGAAATTACACCACTTATGTTACGTCTCTTCTGTTATTTTTCGACAAAGGTGGTGTCATGTGACATCGGTTGACGAGTCAATTTCCTGGCCATGCTTTTACAGTAACTACAGTTCGTGTGTAGTATCTTCTTTCTCCAGCAAACAATCCCTGTTTTCAATGCTAACTTTACACTGCGGTATCTGTACAAGACTGTCTACCAGTGTGCACGGTTTTTTCAGTGATGATCTGCCACCTTTACATGTTTGTGCAGTGGATGGATAAGTGATACCTTTTCAATTGCTACCTTGTAAATTTGTTTGCTTTGTTGAGAACCGGGTGAGAACTCCAGAGATAAGCCAAGAAAGTCTAAATTTCAAGAGTGAACTGGGTCACCCAATATGACAAAAGAAAAACCAAATAAAATAAAGTACAGCAATGAAGCAAATATCAATCAGAACAAAACATCTGCATCACCTGAGAAATTTAAAATATTGCACATGACAGAGCATTTTGTTATTAGACTAACAAATGGAAAACTAAATGGCTTCTGTTTGCGAATTGTAATTAAGATTTTTTTTTACCGTACAACATACTTATAATGCTGTAAAGCTAACTTTATAAAAATTCTGGCTGTTACCTGATGAAGCTAGTTGTAATTAATGGCGACACATCGTACTCAGATTGTAAATGTTGTGGATTTGCTCTCCAACACACTGTGCTGTACTCGTAACGAATTGGGATTTTCTGTTTACTTGACAAACCTTATTAATTGATTGTGTCGGATGGTGGCGGGTTTTAACGACACATTTATATTTACGCGATCTAACCCAAAACAAATCTATATTAATGATGTTTTCATAATATTGTTGCAGCCCTTTTGTGTGTGCAGTTTATACACTCGTACGTGTTAAACGCTGTAAACGGAATGGTTTGTTTATATTGGATGGAGCCTGTGTAAATGTAAGCTAACTTTATACAAAATATGACAACATTTGTTCAAGATAAAACCATGCAAAGTAGAAATTTAATGGCCTATGATTTAGATTTAGTGGATGAGTTAACTTCTTTACCATGGACAAAATGAATTGACGAGGTGTCCGGGGTAGCTCAGAGGTCAAAGCACTGAGGCGTCACCACTGAGACCCTGGGTTCAATCTAGACAGCTGTCTGTCATTAAACAGCACACCCAATTGTAGTGGTTTGATGGTCTCATCCTGGTCACCAATCACTGCAACAAAAAACATCCCATTTCATTAAAGTTGGTTCTTCAATAAAATATGGCTAAATTCCAGTGCTGAAAATTAAAAGCTCAGTTTGAAAGCCGTGCGACGAACATTACTGTCAGTGGCAGGGTGAGTGGGAAAGTGTGTGAACCAGAGGTATCTTGAAGGGATCTGAGAGGCAGTTGTGGTGGTATACACTTCCATGGGCCATTCTCTCACGCAATGGGTTGCGCTGTCCCATGGGAGATCAGAATAGGTGATTTATCTCATGATTTGACACTGATAGCACAATCGGGAAAGCATTTGGGGAAAAGAGCGAAAAAAATTAACAAAAATACCGGTGTACATTTATCCAGTAAAGTTCCCAGTTGAGCACCTTTCATCACACTTGAGATTGTGTTGGGTTGCTACATGTGTGTTTTATTATGGCATGTGCATGGGATTATTTCAAGGTGTCACAACTATAAATTCGTTTATTATTACAAAAGTGTTGTGCACGACCACCCATTTCATTTTACCAGTGCAGATTCGGTCACTGGAAGTTTTAAACAAATTAATCACAATCTGATGATTACATTTGTGCTTAACAGCCCCTCTGTTGATCGAGCCACCAGAGAAAGTGGAAAAATGCAACGAGAAAATATGTTAAAAGCAGAATGGTTGACTTTAAACAATTCTGGAATTAAATATTGATGTGCAATTCCACCGGAAATTATTTTATTATTAAATTTAATTGGTGTGCTTTCCCACTCTTCGGCCTTGCATGGACATCTCAAACAAATTGAATGATCATCTCAAATGAAGGCTGAACAATGAGGTGACCTGGAAGTAAACATTGAATACAATATTTTACCCAGTTACAGTCTGGCTGCTTAGCAGCTGGGGTTGACAAATCCCTATAAAAGCAGTCAGTACAGTTGCAAGTTTCAACCTTATTTAGTTCTCACAATGGTGACACAAACACTTTTTCGTTAATATAAAAGTTTTAGCTTAAAAAAACCGTAGAATTAATGACACCCTGAATATTTAGAGAGGCCTGACTGAGAACTACTTTTGGTGTAACATGTGATTAGTTGAAAATTGGTCAAGAGGGAGGTTTACGTGATGTAAGATTTCACTCTGCACTCAATGAACCCACGGCGTGTGTGGCTGCGTGCAGGAGGACAGCCTTCCTGTCGTGCACCGCAGCCTGCTGGAGGTGAGCGAGCCGCTCACTCGATTTCGCGGCCTGCGAAAACGCAACAGCCTTGGCGCCACTCCCCCCGTGGCCCTGACGCCCGGGGCCAATGGCCTAGCCCGTGAGGTGGAGGCCCTGGCTATCTCGCGCCGGGCGTCGGGCCGGCCGAGGCCGATTGTGGGCACCGACACCACCGTGCTAAAAGTCCTACCGCCTTCGGCGTCTTTGGATCAGCCCCGAGAGATGGAGGAGGGGCTGAGGCCCCCAGCGGTCGTTGCTTCTCCCCTGCAGCAGCAGCAGCAGCAGCAGCAGCAAGAGCTGGAACTTCAGAGGCCACAGTCATACAGCCACAAGAAGTCTCCTTCCGATGCCACGGTGCTCATCCACAGCAGTGAGAGTGAAGGAGAGGTACGTTTTGCACGGAAACATTAAACCACTTTCCTTTGGGGTTATCAAGTCCCCATTGCTGTTGGATACAACCTCGATCCAGCGATCACAGTTGACTCGCTTGTCTCGTGCATACCCTACGTGAAGCGTCACTGTTCCAAAAAGCACCCAAAAATGTAGTTGTCGAAATTATGATGTGATGACCAGAATGAAAATTAATTTTTTTTTAAATCTGCTGTTATATTTGGATTCAGCACCCTTTAAAACCTGCATAAAAATAAAAATATTGAAAGTTGTATGCTTGTCTGGACAAGTAAACTGCTCTGCCAATTTCAATGGTGTCATTTGAAAGCTTACGATATGTTGTTGCTGCAACTGAAGTTGAACTTACAACCTAATAAGTTGGCCAATTACGATTCAACCAGGATGCTGCTTATACGTTGTAGCATTTAAAATATATTGGTACCTGACATAAACCCCATTTTAAAATCATACACTGTATTGGCATCACTGGGGGTACAACTCTTGCCCGGGAACACGGGCGCCTCCCCCACTAAAGTGCGCTGCGATGTCATCCGCCATGCGTGCCCCCCCCCCCCCCGTCACTTTGCCTCTGACACTGCAGCTGTCAATAGCTGTGGTGCGAACTTACTTTTTGTGAGAGATTCTGAGAGGCGAACAAATCTGGCTGTCGCCGGATGATGCTCGTTGTAATTACTGGCGAAACGTTGTACTCGGATTGTAAATGTTGTGGATTTGCTTTCCAACACACTGGCGTGCTGTACTAGTAACGAATTGGCATGTTGTGTTTACGTGACAAACCTTACTAATTGGCTGTGTCGGGTGGTGGCGGGTTTAACGCCACATTTATATATTTACGCGATCTAACCCAAAAAAGTATATTAGGCAAACCCTATTAATGACTCCACAGATATATATATATATACTCACCGGGTCGAACGTCGTGCGAGTTCAAATAGCACGCTCGACCCTGACTGGTGTTCTAATACAGGAGCAGCCGACGTGGGGGCGCACGATCTGATTGGAAGGTGGATTCACATCAGATTGACGTCGGGGTAATTTAAAAGAAGCCGGGGAACAAACAAATGCAAATGCGGCGTCGGTTGGAAGTCCGTTGGGAGAAACGAAAGGGAGTGGTGGAGAGGCAGGAAAGTGTCAGAAAAGACAGAGAAGTGACTAAAAAGGAGCAGATAGAAATGGTTCGGGCCGCCTGAGCTGAGTAATTTCCTGGTGCGTGACACAATGTGCTCAAGTCGTAATAAAGGCCGAGTTCAAGACCTATCCGGGCTGGAGCTCCTTTACATTTTTAAACATTATGCTAAATACTCTTTGGTTCTTTCGGTGACTTTACCGAAAGAACCAAAGAGTATGGATTCCTGCAGTCACGAAAGCTTCAAATCAAGATTTTGCTCAATATTGTGGAGTTGTGTTGTTATTCAAGATCGCTTTTATTTAATTTTTAAAATATATGGTTTGATAAATTAATGACATGAAAGTAGTTAAATCACCAGTGTGCTTACATTCCTTTGATGTGAACTTCTTACCATTGAATCTGAGTGGACTTCTCACTCGTTATTAGATAGTTTTGCACCAAGCAGATGTGCTGTGTATATTTGTAATATACTAATGATATTCAAGTGATCTACTTCATAAAATAAGCCTGTGTGATTTATTCTGCAGATTTAACAATTTAACATTGAACAAAAAATTGTTTTTGTTTTTAAGTTTGAAATGAAATGCTTTCATATGTTTCCGCATTATTTATGTACGTGTTGATTGGAGGGAGGTACACTCGGGAGCAATTGTTTTTCTTTCCTGAGTTTTTATACGTGATCCCTGGTTTTATCATTAAAAGTTTTTAATGATGCTTTGTAAATTGTAGTTGATAAACAGTACCATGGATTATATTTTCTTAAATGTATTTTGTAATCTTCAGAAATAGGAATCCATTGCATTCTTGGATATAACCTGCAGTCAAAAGTCTTGGAAAATTGCTTTGTACATTTGTACCTTAAAATATTGTTTTAGTTTAATGACTGTTTATGGTGTTTTTTTACACAATAGCCATTTAGCTGCAGTTGTTTTTCCAAATGTACTAAATCCAGTTTAAGTTAATTTAAAGTGGGAAGAAACTAAATACAAGGATTTAATTTAACCACATAGTATGAATAACAAGTATTGCTTCAAATATAACAGTAATAAAGCCCAATGACTTGTGTACATATTTGTAATGTGCCAAGATCAACTGGAAAGCAACTGCAGTTATGTTGGCCACGTGGACAAATGTAAAACAGATGGCAGCAGTCTTCTGTTTCGTGTTGTCTGCCTTTAAACAATGACAGAGTTTTATGATCGTTGGTTCTATTTTGTGAAGCTTAGGAATATCAGATAATTTAAATTATGCGAGTCTTCTTTGAGCTGATACGGTTCATAACAGTACCTTTTAAAAGATCCAGCTACACGTTAAAATCCACATCTTAAATCGAGGGTCCTTGACTGTAACATGGCAGATCACCAGCATTGATTCAAGCAAACCTGGCTAGTGTCAAAACCGGTCCAAAGTTTGCCTTTAATTAATGTTGCTGATCTGCATTCCCAGGAGACTGTGAGGGTGATGGATTGTGTAAAAATATTTAAACTTTTTTACGCGGGGAGACATACATAAAGGAGCCCTGCTTATATGTTCAGCTGAAAGTTATTGCTTTTAAATTGAAATCTGGCTGCCAATTGAACCATTTCTGATGCAGCCTATTTCCTTTTGGAGACTTAAAACTATTATTTTAATGACACAAATCCAAAATACTTTGTAATTGCAGCCACAAATATAATATAAAAAGAGCATTAATGGAATTTAAATTGACGCGTAGGGGTTGAATGCACTTACATCAGCTGGTTAAAATTCATTAGTGTGTTTTCTACACTGTAACGTATTGAAAATTGCATTAAATGGCCAAAAGAAACCCCACTACGTCAATTCAAGCCCTGCTGACGTTCGTCCCACAGAGCAGCCGGATAGAGCTCAGTGAGCATGACGAACAACTGCCCATGCATTAATCGCTTCCATAGCTGCCATTTCTATTCGCCGGTTTACTTTAACAGGAGCCAATTGCGCACTCGTTGGCATGGCTTAAGCGTTGTGTACACCTTTCCTGCCAATGGCTGCAGTGTGGCACGATAGGGCTGACCTTGTTAATGACGTAACGGGGTATAATCTTCTACACGTTTGCACTCTGGAAACTTTTCTTGTTTGGTTTTCCTGCCAAAAAAAATCAGTTTTTTTCCCACATGTGGTGTCATGACAACCAATATATTCTAGTTGAAAAGTAGGCTTTTGTTAACACAGACTGCTTTTATTGTGATACCGACATTACCAATTATACATACAAAACAGTTTCGCGTTACAGTAGTCGTCATTTTACGTCAAAAAAGATAAATGTCCAATGACCGCCGAGTTGGAACTTTTTCAAATCGAATTTTGTTGAGATTTGACTTTGAGTGTAAGTGTGGGATTGAGCAAGATGACCATTGTGCGATGTTTTGCTTGAATTCGTATACAGTATTGTCCACAAAATACATTTGTTCTGTGCATTACCCTGTGCTCTCCCAGCCCATCAAATCAATGTCGGTTTATATTTGAAAAATATAGATCGTGAGCATATTTAACCCCCTCCTGCCTTGTGCTGAATGCGTGGCAACCAGGGCGAGGTGGAGATCGAGGAGAGGCAAGACTACGTGCTGCCCATGCCACCACGCTCGCCGGCTGTCCTGACCCCGCAGGAATACAAATCCCACCTGCAGGCTGTGCTCGCCAATATCCCCAAACGGCCCCCACCAGAGTACCCTGGCGGACAGGTGGCCGCACCGCAGCGGCCCTCGTATGCCTATGGGCAGGATACGTCGAGCTTCCTCATCGGCACCACCTCCTCGGTAACGACACCCGTGGCATTCCGCTCACCCCTTGCCATGTAGCGCTTGCCGCTTGGGTTAACTTAGTGGGTGGTGACGTCAAGATCTGCGCAGGTTTTTTTGTGGGTGTACTGCATGGTCCCCCGATGTGTTTTCTGGTTGTGCCAAACAATGTGCGGTACAAATTGGCGACACTTTGGAGGGCTGTCATGATGGGTCATTGACGAAGATGACATAAAACACAGCGGCTTGATTCTTAAGTGTCATTCCCAATTTGCAGCAGGGGGACGTAAAAATTATAATTTCCAGTCGTTTGTGAATCTTTTTGCGGGATGAAGGACTTTGGTCATAGGGGTTACTTGACCATACTTCTCCACGCTAGTTAGTTTGTGTTGGTGGATTGGTGAGCCCGGGATCAGGTTTAGATATGACTTGCGACTGATTGGAATGATTTTGTATGGCCAGTGAATAGCAACTGTTATAGATTAGTCATGGTTAGGAAGTTCAGCGTGTTAACCAAGACACCAGCACTACCCTCCACGGATGGTCATGGTTACCATAATATTGGTAACCCTTAACATCCATGAACTAATTTGTAGGTATTGTCAAGTCACAAGGTTGCAAAAAGAACTAGCATTTATACATTCCTTGACTATTATAACACGAATGTTTATTGAGGGTTATGTGTGTGACCAATTGCCATCTAATTAGACGTTTTAGACTTTTACCTTGGCCGTGCAGTCTGAATGAGTAGAAGGACTTCTCGTGGACACTTATTCCCTTGAATCGTCTTTCCGAAGTGAAGGAATGTCACAAATCCCAGTTGTCCATTTCGTTCCTTGTGGGTATTTGCAGTGCCATGTATTTGTACATTTGTATTTCAATTTAAAAGTGTTCCATTTGTAACTTCGTCTTGCTATGTAATGAGCTATAAAGATTTTGTTTAATAGGATGTTCCTTTAAAAACAGATTTTATCAAATTACATTATTATGTTGGTTATGTTTAATCTACAACCAATTAGTGACACATAAACTGTTTGGAAACTTGCTCCATTTAAACTTAATTCCCCTGAATATGGGAAATTCAAGGCAGTACAAAAATGTTTAGTTATAATAAACAGTATATAAACAATTTTGACGTCATCCTGCGCTATTTAAGACCGGAAGCAGATGGATGGTTTCACTATTCTGGCAAATCGCCCGAAGATGTTGGATGTAATTACCAGTGAAACGTCAAACTCAAGTTCTAAATGTTGTGGATTCACTCTTCAAACACACCGGTGGGCTGAAGAAGTAACTATTTGGCGTTTTTTTTACGTGAAACATTTTTTACTGATTGGCTGGGTCGGGTGGTAGGAGGGTTGCGACACATTTATAATAACGCGATCTAACCCAAAAACCTTTATGGATAATACTGGTTGCGAAAGCCTACGTGTTAAACTGAATATATGAACAGTGAATTGTAAGTCCACGACTAGAGAAAGGTCCCGCACCAAATGCTGGTCTTTGTGGATTTGTGAAGGGAGGGCCAACGATCGGTTCGGATATCATTCACCACTGATCTTAGCTGTGGCCTGAAATCAAACTCGGGTTGCCAGGTTCACAGCACAGTGCATTAACCTCTGCGGCACTGGTCCACCCATCTCGTCATAATACGAGCAAGCAGCTCTGTGGCTTTATATTAGGTCTCAAAGGTTTTATCAGCAATGTAAAACTGACAGAATTGGGGAAACATTTGATAAGCAGACAATATAAACAACAATGTAGAGATTGCAAAACATTTCTGAACTTTACAACTCATAGACCTGCTATGACTTGCATAAAGAAGCAATTTTTTTTAGGTGAGAGTCTTTGTTTTAACCCCACGTTTTCCTCGTCCCTTTGTGTGCAGCACAATTCTGGGCTGATGGCGCAGCAGATGGGCGGCATGAGCCCGCTGGTGGACTGTAAGGGTGCCGCGGTGGGCATGGGTGGCGCTTCCCTTGGCCCGTCCGTCTCCGAACCGGACCTGAGCAGCGCCGGCAAGGAGCGCGTGCGCAGCGAGACCCCGCGGGAGCGCCCCGTCTCGGAGCTATTCTCTCTCACCGACAACATCGTGGAGAGGGAGTTCTTGCTGCATGTAAGGAGCCGCGATATGCCTTGTCATTTTTGCACACGTAAGGCGCTGCGATATGGATTTTCGGCGGGGAGAGGAATTTTCTCCACCCCCTGGCTCCAATTTGATCCCTCGCGTGCTGTCGGTGCCATGTCGTGAGAAGACGTTTTATTTTAAAATCTCGCAGCGCAGTGCAAGCCGCCATTCTCGAGAATGGCCCCATGGAAGAGCTGCCTCCTGAGATGGCTTCAAGTGACCTCTGGTCCGTACCGTAGAGGGCAGCGCTTTTCCACCCTGCTTTGCATATGAGGCTGATGCTTCCTTGTGAGACAGTCAAACCAACTTTTTTATTCTCAGGGCTGGATTTTAGCCAAATAATTGATGAACCATTATGAATGTAACGGTTTGTTTTGGTTGTGATTGGGCCGAGATAATACAATCACTACAGTTGAGTACCCTGTTTAATCGCTGGAAGGTGCCTGAATTAGAACCCAAGATCTCGGTGTTTCCAGCTCAGCTCTGATCTCTCCAGCCACAGCCACCCGACCGTTTCTGTCACTGTCGACACGTATCCACATAGCAGGTGCTGCCAGTTATGCAACAGAAATAAAAATATAAATATAAACTACTGCCGGTGTTTTATATCCAAAATGTTCCTGTAAAGTTATGGTTTTTTTCTGGCATTGGACCTGGTGCGCAGAATGTCATTCAGCACCTGATATTGTTTATCCAGGCCACGGTAGTATATTCACGTGTAGTTACTTGTTGATATTAAGTTCTCATAGTGTTCAGAGTAGAAATTGAAGTGCACCTGAATAAAAAGCAATTATGGTGTTTTTCAGAAAGGACTATTTTTCGAGTTACATTTTTCTCTTTGATATGAAGTTAAAAGTCAATGAGGCTTTTCCGGGTAAGCAAGTGTAGGCATCTCACTAGCATGGCGCCCCACGATGGTGAGATGTTAACTACATTGCCTGGTGTACAGTAGGTTGTGGGTTCAATCCTGACCCTGACGCCTGTATATTTGCAGTTTGCATGTCTTTCTCCCTGTGGTCACTTGGATTTTTCTCCGGGCCCTTTAGTTTTTCCCTCTAAATTTAGAAACATGCGCTTAGAGTTTTTTCTGACTATACATTTACACATGATAAGCCACTTCGTTGAGTTATCATTTGTGACCAGGTCGCTGAAAAAGAGCTATGTAGCTCAGGGGGCCTTACCTGCTAAAATAAAAAAAATAGTTAAGTAGTTAGTTATAATGACTCTTAGGCCATATTTAAAGTCTAGTAGAGACCAAAGTATGCGTCATCAAGGCAGTTGTTGCTTGCTGCTCAAGTACAGTGCCAACCTTGAGCTACCAGCATGGAGTCCATTATCTGTCATTGGCAAACAAGCTATTTTATAAGACTTATTTTTTATAACAATTCAAAAAGCGTTGTCACAAAGGGGTGTTCCACAGTGTGTGTACAACTCAAGAAGCCCACACAATTCAAACACAGCTAAACACGCAGTGTAAATGTATACCCTAAGGTGTAATGTTTCAGTGTAAATGTATGCACACAGGAGCCTCGCACAGACACGGAGCCTCGCACAGACACGGAGCCTCGCAAAAACACGTTCCCATAAGGTTTAGAATGTATTATAATAATACACACATGCACTTCAAACCGTCTTACATGTTGCTTATATACAGTATATTTCGTAAGATATATTTACTCATGCTGTGCAAAGTGATGATGGTCTGTGATATTGGGTGTTCAGTAGCAAGGATTGGCACATTGCTTAATGACAGAACACTGCATTCCATTGCTCTATATTTAGTTATTGGCTCTGTTGCAGCATGTCTAGTCTCTGAGTCACACACCACAGGCTTGTATATTTTGTGGTTAACAGCCATGGACATGTGAAGGGAGCTGATTTTTTTTATCTGCACCACAACAGTGGAAAGGTAGTTTCTGTAATTAAAGCCCAAGTGAATGTAATTTGTTGAAGTGAAGCCTAACAGGAACAAAGTAAACAAGATTATAAACTGTTTACATGAATGGACGCATGCAAACATATGTTCACATGAAGTACACTGTTCATAAAATGTGTACATGTTCACTGAGTCGCCAGGCAACAATTGGTTTGCATCTCAAAACAGTGGTGTGAGATTTCTTACAATGTTGAACGTGCATTTATTTCCATCTTTTGGTTACCTTTTCGGTCTCCAAAACCTTTTTCTCGTACAGACATTTGCATAGTTTGTCACACTGAAGGTCTTCAACCTCATTGGGTTTTGGAAGATGAGCGGACTTCAGCTCAGTTGGTACTTGAATGGAAGACTGCCTGGAACTTGAAGTGTTTTACAGGCTGAGGCTGTGGGGTGGGCAGGAGATGGCAGTACAGAAGTGGATTCTTGATTACATCTGTGCAGAGATTTAAGTGTTCCGGCCCTCGAAATGTATGAGTTTCCTCGTGGTACCTTCTACAGCATGTAAAATGCTGGAATTGATAAAACATCCAATAGCCAGAATCAACCTAAAAACCGCAGCTGAGAGACTGAGGTTTTCCTGCCCTTACTGGGCATCTGTGTAGAAGAGCTTCTTAGCTCATTGGATTCCTCCGGTCTATATGCAGATTCTGATTATGAAATAAAGGCCTTGTGTGTTATTATTGCTCTTAGATAGTGTTCCTACGGATGCTTTACCATCGTGGTCCTTTGTGTGGTTCCCTTCCTTGAGAAGAAGCGAGGAAACACGGCGGAGATCAAAAAGATGGGCCCTCTCAAGATGGCTGTGATGAACGGCCTCTCCATGTCCCGCATCCCCCTGCCCGAGGAGGTCAAGGAGGAGCCCCCCAAGGTGCCCATGGATGAAAGGGTGAGAACAAACTGACGTGTGCCTCGTGAGCAGTGGGGGGTTGTCCATGAAGCTGCAAACAGCAGAAACAACTAGAATACATGTGCAGTGACGCACAGGTATACTCATTGTACTGCCATGGTGTTGCCTCTGTTTCAACAAACTGGAGATTATCGTTTAGTTTAGGACAATGGGCAGATATATGATCCTTATAGCGGTACCCCGGGGTACAAAATTATAAAAGATGGCCGTGGCAATTAAATATTTTATTTCTGGGACACTATTTTTTCCAGGGGTGTACTTAACTCCGCGACTGGGGTACCAATCAATCCTAAATCGGTGCCACACTCCGCAATGTCGAAACGCAGCGAGGACGATTGCGCCGAAACCCTGAACGCTCGCACGCACTGTGGTGGTGCATAGTGAGTACAGCTCGTCGAGATGAGTCGATTGCCGCATCGCCGACCATCAACAGACTAAAAATGACATGCATCACGGACATTATGCGAGAGCCGGAGTACCGCCATAAGGTTCATATTGCAATTTGAGAATCTGCTCCTCATCACGATTACAATTTACATGCAAAAGACATTATAATAAGTAGTCCCACATTATACCTAGGGAGTGAATTGGTGGCACAGTGGTTAGTGCACTGTACTGTTAACCCAGCAACCTAATTTATAATCCTGGCCACAGGTATCAGTGATGATTGATATCTAAATAGGTGCAGGTTACCCCCTTGACCAACCCACACAGACCAGTCTGGTCAAGTTTTGTCAAACAACCTCTGACCGACACAGTTTGGTCAGGCCTTCATCCAGCAGTGGATTGACCAAGTTTGCTGTAAATGATCAGTTTATAATTATACCCCCAGTTCTGTGCACGGTACACTGTGTTTGCTTTGCTGCGTCTGGTTAACTCGTCTTTAATTTCTCTGCCATGTGTTCTGCAGTGCAAGATGCTGCAAGAGCGTCTGGAGCAGGGCATGGTCTTCACCGAGTACGAGCGCGTGCTCAAGAAGCGCGCGCAAGCCGACTGCAGCACTGCTACGCTCTCCGAAAACCACGATCGCAACCGCTTCAAGGACGTTGTTCCATACGAGGAGAACCGCATCGAGCTCTTGCCAAGCAAGGACAACCCCACTGGTTATGTCAACGCGTCGCGCGTACAGGCACGTGCATCTTGCGCCAACATTCACAGCCATCAAATAAGAGGGATCATCTTCTTTTCTCAAGCTGCTGCGTAGATTTTTTGTGGTTTTTCCTGCATCGCTTTCGAGTGTTTCCGGGCTGTACTGCTTGTTGTTCAGCATGATGTCCGATGTTTTTCTCTACATGCTCAGAGCTTCTTCAGGAACGCCACAAAAGCGAATATCGCGTTGTTACAACTCGAAAGCACTTCTTCTAAATGTTTTTCACGTGGCTAAATTTGCATTCAATGCATCTGAGAAAAGTAATAGAATGTTTTGTATATATTTTCAAATGCAAAAATGCTGTGGGTTTTTGGTTTTAGAGCTTTATTTTGCAAGCTTACATATGGCTGTGTGTGTGCGTGTGTACAGGTTACTGTAAGTGGGGAGGAGTGGCATTACATTGCAACACAAGGACCACTGCCATGCACTTGCCAGGACTTCTGGCAGATGGTGTGGGAGGAAGGCGTCAATGTCATTGCCATGGTCACTCAAGAGGAGGTAACACATCACTCGGCTTATTGCTATTCTTACCCTTGTCAATGCACTGATCCATAAAGGCCCCTCCCGGTCCCGTGTTGGTCATGGGGGTTGTTTGACTAAACGTTACCACGCTGGTCAGGGTGGATTGGTAAAGAAGTTGCCCAGGACTGGTTCCAATATCACTTGACGCTGATGTTTATCAGAGCTGGCAAACAAATCCAGGAGGCAACCACTCCATCCCAGTCGGCTAATAGTTTTACACAAATTACACTATTTTTCGTTGGTGGCTCATAACTAGGAGAGATCTTAAGCCACTCCTTATCTCTTTGTGTACACTTTGTCTATCTGATTGTCGACCTATATTCACGTGCCAAAGCCTTGACGAGATAAGTGCTGTTCATTGTTCTGTCGACGTGAGACCATTGACTGATTTATTTTTTACATTGTATTATGTTTATTTGTTTTGAATGCACAATTTTCTTCTCATTGCAGCACAAACTACAGTCACTTACACATGCTTGCAATTTCCTGATAGCCACTGGTAATGTAATTTTCCTGTTCAACCTCATAAGCCTCGTGTGTCATCCCACATTCGATGTAGAGCGAGAGTAATTCTACGGGTGTTTTATTTGTCTTGTCGCTCGGCAGGAGGGAGGCAAGTCAAAGAGCCACCGCTACTGGCCCAAGCTGGGCTCGCGGCACAGCTCGGTGACGTACGGCAAGTTTAAAGTGACCACCAAGTTCCGCACGGACTTTGGCTGCTACGCCACGACAGGCCTCAAGCTCAAGCACCTGTTGGATGGGCACGAGAGGACCGTCTGGCACCTGCAGTACACAGACTGGCCTGACCATGGTTGCCCAGACCATGTGCAGGGATTCTTAGGTAAGTAAAACAAAGATCCCCCATATAGTCTGAACATACTTGGGGTAAGTGCTGTTAGTGAGCACCTATGAAGGCTGGGACGGCACACGAGGGGGTGCGTGGCCAGTACTTCACCCGGCCGCATCTATCTCCCTCTTTTGAGGACCTGGGGAGGCCCAGGACCGATTCAAATAATCATCACTGGTGTTGGCGGTGAGCGTGAAACGAACTCGGGTTGCCGGGTTCGCAGTGCAAACACTCTAACCGTTGCCCTACTGCTCCCCAACAACAAAAACAGCCGTCATTCGCCACTAAGTGGCGGTGACGTCACCACGACGCTTGTGCCAGGCCATGTGCACGCTGAGGCCACGTGAAGTGTCGAACGCCCGTTGGCAGGAGGTCACGGGGCAGACCCAGGTGCCACGGGTCGACTGAGATGACTAGCTGATGCACCATCTGTGCCCCCTACTTGGCCAACTTGCTGTGCTTTAGTCACTCGGCGCTCTGCTCGTTGTTGTGAGCGTCGCTCCTCCGCCCTCCATTGTTGGAGGGCGACTGCCTCCAGCTGCCCTGTAGCGTCCTTCACGAGCCTCCTTCACAGAGGCCGATCAGTGATCGGCAAGTCCACTCAGCTCCACATCCTCCTGTACCACATCACTCCATCTCTTCTCTAGCCCGTGCCGCACCCCTTTAGCCCCCTCGATCCGGCCGAACAAAAGCTGTCTAGGCATGCGGTGGCTGGGCATGCGGGCTACATGACCCAGCCAACGCAGCCTTGCCTGCCGGAGGAGGTCACCGATGGGATCTTTCAAGGATATGTGAGCTCCTCACACAATCCAACCTGGTTAAACCCAGCAATTACCAGATCATCGGCATACGTAACATGGTTGAGCAATAGGGAGCCATCCCTTGACCGCATCCGGGCATCGATCAGCCTCCAATTGTATCTGTACCAGATGTATATTCCTCCGGTACAGCTATCGAAGGCTTCATGTACTACGTGGTCGAAATAGATGTTAAATAATGTGGGAGCCAGAGGACATCCCTGTCGCATCCCAAAGTGAACAGGGAATGGCTCCGACTCCCAGCCACGTAGTTTGGCCCGGGCCCGCTCACCATCATGAATGTCTTTAATGATGGTATCATAGGCCTTGACCAGGTCAATAAAGCAGAGATGTAGATCTTGTTGGAATTCCCTACACCTCTGCTGTAGCAGACGGACAGAAAATATGGCATCTGTGCAGGACCGCCCTTTCCTGAAACCGCATTGGGGCTCCGCAAGCCTCTCCTCAGCGTGCCTGGCAAGGCGATGTTGAATAATCCTTGCCAGAACCTTTCCCGGCACACTGAGGAGTGAGATGCCCCTGTAGTTGTTACATTCTGTGCGATCCCCCTTCTTAAAGAGGGGGACCACCAGAGCATCCTTCATATCCTGCAGAACCCATCCAGTGGTCCAGACTGTTATCATGATATCATGTAGGGCAGTCTGTGCACAAATGCCACCCTCCCACAGCATTTTGCTTGGGAGATCATCTCTGCCCGGTGCCTTTTCTGGTCTCAGGCTCTGGATCGCTTTTAGTACTTCCTCAACAGATGGCACCTCAGCCAGCCACTCACAGGGGGTGACTTCCAATATTTGAGGCACCGCAGCCTAAAGCAGGGTCATCCCCACTTTGTCCCACGATGTTTTCCAGGCTGAGGGATTTCCCCTCCCTCAGGACCTCACAGAAATGCTCAGCAAATCTGCAAACCTGTTCCTGGGGGTTGGAGATTGGATTGCCATTATTTCTCCTAATGATGGTAATAAGTGTGGCGCCGCAGGTTACTTTTTTTATGGAATTAAAGAGCGATTTGTGATCGCGGGCCATTGAGGCAGACTCCATCTCCTCAGCAACCCGCGACTACTATAACCATCCTTGCAGCACCTCACGGCTCTGCGAACCTCCGAGTGAAGGCTGCGGTTAGCCTCCTCATTGTCTGACGTGGGATGCTGTAGATGATGAGAGTGGGCCTGTCGCTTTTTCTCAGCCAGCCTGAACACCTCCTCTGTCAGCCAGGGTCTCTGAGGTCTAGACCATGTGCCCAAAGCAGCCATTGCAGCTGCATGAGCCACAGTCCTAAACCTCGTCTATTTCCCCTCGACATCAGGAGTGGGGGGCGATGCCAACCCCAGCCGCACGCGATGATGCAATTCTCGCTTGTAACTTTCATCCGCTAGCTGAGTCCATGCCACTATGGGTTTGAATGGTCCTGTGTGTACACCCACCACCGGAGTGGAAGAATGGCAGGCGCATCTTACAGATGACAAGTCAATGGTCAGTGGGCAGGTCAGCTCCACGGTTGGTCCTGGTGTTAAGGACATGGGCCCGCATCCGCTGTTCTGTCACTATGTAGTCCAGCAGATGTTCTTGCTTGGACCCGGCATGCATCCATGATGTTGTGTGGATGCGCCAATGCCGGAACAGCGTGTTGGTAATTACAAGCCCATTGGGCTGCACAAAAATCTAGCGGCCTCCTACCAGTTGTTATTGAGTTGATCTGGCTCTCATGTCTTCCAATCACTCCAGACCAGGTGCTAGCATCATGACCAACTCGGGCATTGAAGTCACCCAACAAGATGACTCTATCCCAAGGGGCCACTTTAGCCAGCACCTGTGACAGGAGGTCATAGAAGGCATCTGACTCATCGGCCTTGCCTGCATCCCTCCACAGATGTTCATCTTCGGTGGGGGCATAAGTAACCACGACCACCACTCCTCGTCTTTGGTTGATGGGAAGGCGAGCCCAAAGTAGCCTGGGGCTTACAGCTTCCCACACCTCACTGCCATACTCCCACGCCCCCTTCATTCTTTTGTTCAGAAGAAGAGCCACTCCCTGTTGTTTGGCAGTCTCCTGCCCCGAGTAGAGGACTGTCCACCCCTCATGGTGGCAGGAGCCAGAGCCGGTCCACCGGACCTCCTGAATTCCACAGAGATCCAGCTCCCGACAGAGGAGTGGCAGCCTCTCCTCTGCAGTGAGCGTTCGAACATTCTACGTGGCCATCCGTTGTGGCTTTTTGTTGTTTCTGGAGGAGCCCCGAGGGTAAGGATTCAGTCTCCTGGCTCCGCCAAATGGGGTTTGGCCAGGAAACGTCATAGACGCCTGTCCTCCCGGAGCCTCCGGCACAAGCATAGTTACATTTTTAAATCGTGGTTTGGTGGTAATTAATTGAAGGGGGAGGGGTTAAATTGGCTCTCCCCCCACGGCACTGCCCACCACAACGTTTCTGTCCGGCACCACGAGGAGGTAGGGGGTTGTTTTTGCCGGACCTACTGCTCCCCACATATACACAAACCCGCATCCTGTTTGTGCTTATCCATCCCCATTCCATTCCAATAGACAGCCACTCTAGAGGCTAATTTGGCTTACCCTATCATGCTGCCAGACATGTTGGAAGAGGTAGGAGTAGCCACACTTTACTCCACCACATACGACCTGTCGATCGACCGCGAGGTATCCATTTTATACTGCTGCGTGGACAGAGGGGATATGATAAACTCGCAGTTGTTTTAACTGCTGTGCCAGATCGCATCTCTGCCCATATCGTGCTATTTAACCTATATGCTCCTGCCCCTCCGGTATCATACTTGAGACCTGTCGCGTGTACAAACAAGGTACAATATGAGTGCGCTGTGTTGTTCCTTGAGACCTGTCGCGTGTACAAATGGCATTGGTGTGTGCCACTGGTGGCTTTGGCAGGCTACCTGGAGGAGATCAAGTCGGTGCGCCGGCACACGAACAACATGCTGGAGGCCAGCAAGCCGGCCAACCCGCCCGTGGTGGTGCACTGCAGCGCTGGGGTCGGCCGCACGGGCGTCGTCATCCTCACGGAGATGATGATCGCTTGCCTCGAGCACAATGAGGTATGTGAGCCTTGTTAAGAATGATGCATTGTTTGCAACAATCTCGTCTTCATTATGAGCCATGGTTTCAAGCGTCTTGGTAGTAACATGTGGATTTGGTCATAGATGTGTCATCATCATCCACAATCAATCCAATGCTGGATGAAGGTCTTCCCATGCCAATGCCACCTCTCATGATTCTACAATGTAACAATCCACCTAGCACCTGCACACGAACTGATTTCATAATCTCCATCACCTTAAATAATGTTCTACCGGAGGCGTTCCATTTTTTATCTTTCATCACTCCCTCTCCTCGGTGGCCATCCGCTCAGCCGATTTATCGGCAGCGATTTTAAATAATAAATATAAACCCTCCATCAATGGTGTGGCTTGGCGGTCTTGTGGGATTGATGCCAGGGAAAATGTTAATTCGGCTTTCTTCTCATCTGCACTGATATATTTCTGTAGAACGCTGTGGAATTTATTTTACCATTTCGAATGTACCTCATCTGTTTAGCTGTGAGCGACAAAGCTTTTGCATTATAACTTGCAAGAGCGAAGCTGCTGCATGTCAGCATCTTGGTAGAATTTTTTATCTGAAATTACTTGTATATTTCTTGAAGCTGTAAAGTAGAGAGGGTTTAAAAGGGCCTACTTGGAATCAAACCATTTGCACCCAACAATTAGTTGGAAGTCTAAAGTATAAGATAAAAGTCTGATGGTTGTGGTGGTGGTGGTGTTGCGCTGTGGCGTGTCGTCTACAGAAGCTGGACGTGCCTGACGTGCTGGCCATCCTGCGCACACAGAGGATGCTCATGGTGCAGACCATCACCCAGTACACGTTTGTCTACCAGGCTCTCATCCAGTTTCTGAGGAGCTCACGTCTCATCTGAGCCATCGCCACGATTCTCAGGCACGACCAATGGGGGGGCGGGGGGGGGGGCGATGTCTCGGAGGGGTGGTCCAAGCCGTGTGCGGCATGGGAATTCCGTATGTGCATTGAACAGTTTTCGTGAAAGGCCACGGCCGCCCAGAGGCACCAGCGTTGGGCGCTCACGCAGTGGCGGCGGGCGTCACGTCGGCGGCCGTGAGACCGTTTGACGACGAGCTCACGGATCGCCCAGAAATCTTCGGATGAGGCCAATTTTCGGCCTCCTGTGCAATTTCCGAAAGACAACACTTCACGAAGGCCTCGAAAGAAAATGTGTTCACGGTTTCGGCTAAAAAATATCTGAATGTTTTTACACCACTGTTGTTCGTGTGTGCGCCTTGATTACAGCATGATCAAGAACCTGACGGCTTAGTACTGAAGAGTACTACACTGATTTAAAACAAAACTCCACCATTTCAATGCTTATTTAGCCCTGCTGCGTGTTGGAGATTGTGCCAGAAGCCCCAAAAACATTCACATGTAAATGATCCCACATGCTCGTCAATGGTGCTGCAGCAATTTTTCAAGTACTCAGAAAATGCAAACGCTCTCATCATGGATACAATATTTCCAGCAATATGAAAGTATGGCGGTAAGAGGGGAATATTGAGAACCTGAGTGATGTCAACAGTGTGTCGCCCGTTGTATAAAAGAAACAAAACACTGTGAACCATTGTTCAACTCGGCTCATGCAGCTGACCTGGATTGACTGCTTCAAGTAAATGTGCTTAAGAATGCCCAGTATTTATACAGTCGTTTTGTGTGTATGTGTACCACATTCAAACTCTTTGGTGTACATAAAATGTAAACCCTCCGCCCCTTTTTAACACGTGTTGATATGTACAGTCCTTTGTTTACTTGTCCAAGCGTATATGTATTTTTGTTACTGTAGTTTTTCAGAGTTTCCTCTTAGCTGCGGTTTTTTTAATCCCTTGTACAATATCCCTGGTTTTTTTCTAACAAAGGCCAACCCTTGTTCATAACCAATCTGCCTTACTGGATGTGCTCAGCACTCTGCCTTAAAAGAAGGAACACATGCTAATGGCTAAGCAACAGTTTATTTCTTACAATGGATTTACTGTATTTAAAATGCGACGAAAGAATGTGTCGGGAATTGAATAATATTGGTTTAATATGCTTTGTGCACTCACAACACATTCTGTCAAACTTGCATTAATGTACTCTTACTACAGCATTCATATTTATAGCAAAATAACGTTAAAGAGAACTCATGGGCGTGCAGATGAAATATATAAATTGGTGGATAAGTTGCAACGATTCGATTTTATGAAGCCAAGCACATGATCTACATCAAATGAATTCACATTTTAACAAACTCGCATTAATTCTCGATGTATTTTAGAGTATTTTGGCTGGTCACAGCTCAGGTGAATGTACAATATTTCGTAATTTAATTCACCGATAATTTTATATATATATTTAGTGTCAAAACATTTCTAGCCACTGTCCAGCAGTACTTAAAAAAGCAACTAAAATGTTGACCAACATACATATTGCTTTATGTTATTCCTCACACCAGTTCATCATGATATCGTCAAGGTTTCATTCATTGTCTGAAATGAGTATGATATTCATCAGAAACTGTCAGCTTTCGGAAGTAGAGATTTGTTGTGAAATGTGTGTGCAGTGACCATGAGAAAAGTTGAATTTGTGGGCTGGATGGAATGCATTGTCCAGATAGTTCCTTGTCTGATTTGCTTCACCAGAATGTTATGTACGGACCATGGCCGACTTTCCCACAGTGCGTATTGGCAAATAAAACACTGTTGCTCAATGTCAATAAATGTTATGACCGAATGATTAAAATATCAGATTACCTGTCCAGTGGACAGTGGCACCTGGATATCTGTAACCTGGGAAATGGTTGTCCTTTAAAAAAAGATGTCTTATCGTCGTACCTCACCTCTGTTGCCCCCCCCCCCCCTCACTCCTCTATTCCCATAGGGTAAGATTTTAGGCAAATGTAAAAAAGCAGTGGAAATAATATTGTACATAGGATCTTTGTTTTATGTTTTAACAGATTTTGTGCACTTTTACGAGAATTATCATTTTATGTACTTGCCTTTTATGTTTATTCCAGCAGGTTATACATAAATGTAGTTTTTGTATAATATTTTTTTAAATTCTGGTTGTCAATCTGGACAACCGTAACATTTTGCAGGATAACCGGTTTATTTCTCATGCAGTTGTGGGCGTCTATCCCATATACATTTGTGTCACGCCATGCTGTATAACAAGTAAACAAACACCATTTACGTGTTTAGGTTAATGTAAAGGACCTGTGTGCTTTGAGCAAAACCTCCAAAATGTTCCTGCCATCAAGCAATGGATGAATATGCTTGGCATGGACAACCGATTTCATAAAGGTGACACTAAGTAGACCCGATCAGTCATAATTACTCAACAGTGAACATTAATGATTGTGCATGCTTTTAGTTTTAACTAATATATGTAAAAAACAAATCTAAACTGGTTGAACAAGGTAAACATTGAAAAACTGTCTTACACAGACAACATCAAAAGGTTGTGCAAAAACGTGGTTGTGTGTTTCCAATGTGTTGATCTGTTGCCCGTTTTAAGTTTTTCAAATTGAGGACATTTCAGAGGGCATGCCACGGGCCTGACGCGACGTGGCGGGAAGTGCAATAGCAGGTTCAAGGTGGCTTCTTCAGACGCGAATGTCAAATTAGATGGTCTACAAGATGGACATCTGATTTTGGATGGTGTTCTAACATCCAAATGTTGTGGAAATGGATAAGTGGTCAGCGCATAATGAAAATTAATTTGGTGCATATATGTTCAGAGAGCACAACAATACTGCCCCTAGCTAATTGTTGTGCCATAAGGCAGTCTACAATGCTGCCACTCGTTGTACCTAGGCTCCATGTAAACCCAGTGAAGTGGTCCTCGGCTCGATTTTTAAAGCTTCCACGTCCAGTGAAGCCAATCAACGTAATGAAAGCGTATCGAATAATCCAGCATCTTGTGAATAACTTGGGCAGGTTGGATGTTGCATTTTAAAAAATGAAATATGAAGTGTTCTTAGATCATTTGCTGGGTCTAAACGGAGTCTGGGAATGGGCCCCTCTGATACCTTTCAACTTGACCGTGTGTCTTGGTATATTGTTGCTGTATGCACATTCCTTTATCATGTTTGGATGTACTCAGACGCTTTTGTGTCACTCATGTTTGCCTTGGTCATAGCCTGCCTTCCCCGCTACACAAAATGGAATGATCAAAAACAGGTACACACAATACTGGTACAGACAATAGGCCATATGGTACATTTGAAATGTGTAAATTACAAGACACAATTGACGAGATGAACTCTCCTTTAACAGCAATTATGCGTCTCCTGTTAAGACTGGGTAGTATCGGTGAGCACTGTCCAAATGCTCAATGTATCGGTGTCCTGTACTAGGAGAGGGAAACTTGCCAAGATCTTCATTTCCGTTTGTTCAGGGGTAGCAAGGGACAACTTGACTCGAAGAGGGTTGACATGAAAAAAGTTATTAAACACCCAATCTTAAGGGACGCATTATAACACGTGTACATATGTATCATCAGTACTGTATATGGTGTGTTGCAAATCATCCTCATCGAAGGCCAGCAGCATCTGTACTCATTATAGCCCACACGTGTTGCTGTTGAACAAAATGTATTTTTTGTGCATGGACATTTACTTTTAGGCCATGCTGTGATATAGCATCTACCATTCAAGCTACGGCACTTACACGTGATCATGTCGTGTTATGAGTATTGCTTTCGTTGTAATATAACTTATTTACTGCATTTGTTATTGGTTGTTATCTCCCTATGCGTACAATGATATGTTTTTAAATTTGGAGCTTAACCATCTTGCAAAAAAACACTATTCATCAACAATGTGTGCCTCCTTTCTTACGTCCGTGGAATGGCTTGATTGTGCCTTTTAATTTAGTTTGACAGCATAAGCGGAATTTTCTCGACTTTCTGTCATCATTTTTGCCTGACATGGACTTGAATACGCACGCCTCTAATCAAAGCGCTGTGCAGGCAGCGAGGGTTGGATCGCACATGTTGTGAAACTCCCTTCCCGTGGGCGACGAGGTGCCTAACGCTTGCTCGCCAGGAGAAGCCAGTACAGCAAGTGTACCGATCGCCAGCTGTTTCCATCTGTACAGGGATGTTGTTGCCCCCTTGTGACTCGGTGTCTCCTTCCTAAATAAGTACATAACTTATAAATACAATTATTAACAATAAACGTCTGTGTGTAACTTGTTAGGAATTGGAGAAGAAGAAAAAAACTGCAGAGTAATCTGACCTTTTTTTAAAATATCAATGTTTATTCGACGAGCTGGCAAGAATTTAATCCACAAACTATCCTTTGTAAATTCGGTGATATGAGCAAAACATTTGTTTTCCTGTGGGAAATCTCAAAATTGATGCACCCATACACTTCTGTATAAATGCACTGATGAAATATGAAAGTTGCACATTGGACATGTCTGTGTTTTTAAAAAGAACAAGGAATGCACCAGTTACGTGAGATGAATGCTTCCCACAGCAGGACCTCAATCGGAAGGAGCATGGCAATGCTTCGATTAAACACCCAGTTCAAAACAATGGAGTTGAATTAGATTAATGGTATGTACGTCGAACTTATTTTGCAGCGTGTGTCGCCAACCGTGCTAATCGGAGGTGCGATTAGTCCATTACCTTCCACTTGCCAAACATAGCTCGATCACTTCTACATCAAAATACCATGAGGAAACTATACATGCAACTGCCATGTAAAGCAATTATCTTAGGATTAATAATAGAGCTTAGGATATATGTTTGAGTAATTTATTATGCTACCGTATATTGGTGTGATGAATTAGAATTATTAGATTCCTCGAATAGCTCCGAAATAGTTTGGGGGGGGGGGGGCGGAACAAACTGTTATCACGTGTTGCTGCATGGGAGATGATGGGCTTCCACTGGTGATGCCATCGTCAGCCGCGTCTCGCTGGGCGTGGCTTGTTGGGGGTTTCCAGCTTTCGAGAGGCACCATGTGAGAGTGGCCGCCATTTTTATGAAATCGACCAAAAAAGGTAGTCAAATCTCCCCAGCTCTGATAATTGCGCAACGATGATAGTGAAGAAGATGATAGTGCTATGAAGTGTTGCTCTTCTTGGATTTCACGGCTGTTCTCAGCTCCTCGATGAATGGATGATCTTTGCCATGGGTGACTTCCATTATCGCCAGAGCCTGTGATGAACAGTATATGCACAGGACACAATCGTTTTTAACAGCAGTTGTCAGACTCGGGCCAACTTTGTCCAACTTTGTGACATCATTGTCATGGTCAAAGGCTAGTCTACATTATAGACTGCCAGTACACTCGCCCAGCTTAATAACCATTGCTACAGTCTATATTATAGACTGCTACTACACTCACCTAACTTAACCAGGCTGCAGTCTCCATTATAGATTGCCACTCACTCTGATTAGGAACCAGGCTACAGTCGACAGTGGTTTAAAAAAAATATGTTTTTCCCTTTATTTTTGATTATTTTTCTATCTACGTGACTTTACCGAAAGAATCAAAATATGTTCGATCGCTTTATGTACATTAAGGGCATGCAATTGCACATCGTTACTAAGAGTGGGTCAAGAGAATGTTACATCATGGGACATCCTTTGCCAGTACCAAAATATGAGAATAGGTTTTCCCCTTTTTTCTGGCAACAAAACATGTATTCTCTTTCTACGCGACTTTAACGAAATAACCACAAAGTAATTCCTGCAGTCACGAAAGCTCCAAATCCGGTGTTAATGTGTTTTAACATCTTAACACCTGTTTTGTTGCCAGAAAAAAGGGGAAAACCTATTCCTAGAATAATGTTATTTTCACATTTCAAACTATCTTTATAATGTAGAAAATGCATGACCAAATTTGTGCGTGTTTTTTTTTTACAAATATAACCACACCAAATGTAGATCATGACGTATCACTGTAGCTGCTCTGCCTTCATACGTGCTGTTAAAAATGTCATGATACTTCCCATAAAGGCCTTGGTGAGCTTGCATGAACATTCGTGTAAACTGAATCTATCTGTGGATTAGATCCACCGATTAAGGAAATGTGTGCAATAGCACACGAGCCAATTTGAGTTTTTTTGCACGAAAAATGCTATAGGGTCAATACAAAATTTAATCCAAGCCATATATCTTTAAAACAGCATAGTTGTAAACAACATTTCAAAGTGAGCGGGCTCATTGTATCGTGTGGGTACTCCCACCATTTACAGAATGTCTGGCCAGTGTGAAAGGTTAGGCCAATTATCTGCGAGAGAGACTCTCCGAGTTATCTTTAGTGGAGACCATTTCACCAGCAGTGGTGTGAGCAAGCAATTGCAGAGCTGCACCTTTACAATGTGTTTCACATTGTCGCGAATGATGTCTGCACGTGGCAACCTTGCCTTGCTGAAGGACTTGGCTGCTGCACTTGTGTGATCCAGGTTGCTCTGAAGTTGGGCAATCTTGAGCCATAACGAGGCCACGTTCAGCGAGAGACGTGGGTACAGTTTACTGTGGAGAGCGGTAAGAGAGTAACACAATTCCTCACGGCTAAATGAAGGTGTACATGGGTGACTTGTTAATTGTGCGGCTCGCGTGCAATCTCTATAAGACTCGAGCTACGCACCACTCCCGCCGACGTCAATCACCCGCCTCGCATTCCACACCGCCACCTTTCACTTCAAATGTTCATTGTGCAACCCATGGAAATAGCAATACCTACAGCGGTCCTACCTTCACAGAGAAACCTAAAAGATGTTTGACAATAGTTTGAATATGACCACCCTATGTCTGAGGGCACCTGGGAAAGGCATTCTTTCTAGCCAATAGCACACCAGCCTTCAAGCTCCGTGATGTACAGAGCCATCGCTACTGGGTATCATTGGTGCACCGACAAAATGCTGTTTCTCAAAGTCAAAGTGAAACCTGTTAAATAAGGCGCTCGATATAGCATGGCAGGAGCAGTTAATATCATTCGTAAATAACCAGTCACCGTGGACCTGTGATGTAACCGGTACCTGTTGGAACTATTTGCAAGTCGGACACTGCCAGCTTGCCAAGCGCCTGGTCACTCTCCTGGAGGCCAGACGGCTATTGCGGCGGGCGTCTCAAGACGGCCGACGGAGTGTGTGTGTATGTTGACCTTTTTTAGTGTACGTTCAAACTATTTTGTATGTATGCATGTTGAACTTCTTTCGTATCGTACGTAGCCAACCGTGCTAATGGTAGGTGCGAGGGAACGAACTAAACGCAGTTCTAAAGAAACGAATAACCCAAAGTGTAGCCCTGCTAACGGAAGCGAATTGTCCCGAATTGAATATGGGTGTCTCCGTAGCTCACCAGTACGGCTTGATGACCTGCAGGCCGTAGTCCAGTGCCCTCTCCCACTGCTCGACGAAGAGACAGACGCCCATGGCCTGGTAGGCCATGTGGAGCAGGTACACGTTGCTCTCCGACAGGACGCTGCGCTGCTTCTCCAGGCACTGCTCGCACATCTCGAGCAGCTCCGTGCCAGCTGAGGACCCGGCCCGTCAAGGTTCAAGTCCACTCACAGGGCAGGCCACGGTGGCGAGGTGGTGATGTTAACTACTTCACGAGGTCGACAGGAGGTCGTGGGTTCGATCCCGACCCAGAAGCGCGTGTCTATTTAGAGTTTTCATGTTTTCCCCGTGGTCGCGTGGATTTTTCTCCATGTCCTCCGTTTTTCCCTCCACATTTAGAATCAACGTGCGTTTTGAAGTAGTTGGTTGCTATGCATGTCCACGTGATAAGCCACTTGCTGGGGTGAGCAGGCATTTGCTGTGTCTGCACCACGGTTGTGTGAATTCGCGCCCGTTGTAAATGTGTTTATCCGACAATGTGGACACTTTAAAGTCTCGTCTTGAAACCACATCTTTGTAAGTCGGTTTATTTTATTTAGCTTATCTGTCTCTCTTGGCCTATCCTTATTCTTACAAGGCGCCTTGAGACGTTAGGTGCCTTACAAATAAATGTTAATAATTATTACTTCATTGGGCTGTCATTTGTGGCCAGGTCGCTTCTGAAAAAGAGCGAAATAGCTCAGTGAGCCTTACCTGGTAAAATAAAAAGAAAAAAATTGGTGGAAAATTTAATTCAGACATCGCCCAGTGCACTTCTTGTTTATATTGCTTAGTCTCTTGACCGTGACTCTTACTCGGGTTGCCACCTGTCCTGGTTCTCCCAGGATCCTTCTGTTGTTGAAGTAGCGGTCTTAAAAAAATGATACGTCTTCCCAGGATGAAGGTTTCGGTTTTTTTTCGCCAGATATGTAATAATACCCAACTCAAGACTGATGCATAAGAATGTAGTTCTCCCCGCTTCCGAGAATTGATGAGATCTTTTGACGATAATAGGCTTATCTTCCTTCATGCCAACAGAACAAGAATGAGTTCGCAGCATACAAACGACGGAGTAAACCCCGCACAAAACGAGAATCGATTATTTAATTGAAATTACTCGTGATTATTTTGTTGCGTTTGAGGGGCGTAAATCGTTACTCGCCAATGTTTAGTTTCTGGAGCCGTAAATCCGCTCGTAATTCGTGTGGGCGACAAAACCCTGCGATGAAACAGCTTGGAAGCACACACTTGCTGAAATGTACTCATGTCGGCAGCAGAGGGTGCTGTCTGGGTTTTGAGTGACGCGCACCATTAAACCATCAGAGTCCCTGTTGGCTGAAGGCCCTATCTCAATAGCGGTGTCAGTGGCACTACCGGTCAGATATTACCACGTAACAATGTTGTATGACCCTCATGCCAAGTGATGTGAATGCAATAAAAATAATTGTAAGATAGCTCTGATGTGTTCTTTTGGGTTGCACTGCGTGTTGTTCAGTGTGATGTCCGACGTTTCAGTCCAAGTATCGGGAAGCTTACTGAATTCAGTTCCCGAAGACGTTTAGCTCACGTGCTGGGACCTTATTAAATTCACTGCCAGCCCGTGGAGTGACCGCACCGCGCGCGGTGAACTTGTCCGACGTGACGTTCCCTTGCCAACCGCGGGGACTACCTTCCCGGAAACCGCCGTGGTTGGCAAAGCTGCGAATGGGGATGCTCAGGGGGCCTCAGGGGGCCTCAGGGGGCACGGGCAGCCTCGTCAAAGCCTAACCAAGTTGCCTGTCCCGACACTAAACACATAAAATACACAACATAGTGTGAGATGCTGGTAATGCAAAAAACGGTCCATCAATTTAAGAGCCACTCGTAGAGTTGCAATTATAAATTCCATTCATGAAATCCATTAAAAAGGAAGCAAATAAAAAACAGCAAAAATTATTCTCTTTGTGTTAATGTGTCGTTTCACCGGTTGTCAGCGCTTCATTTATGACACTTGTGGCTAATGGGTTTTAATTAGCCAATACAATGCATCATCCTGCTTACCATAACGAGTGCTCATAAACCAAAGATCTGTTCAGACATTGGCAGCTGAAAGTTACGAAAAAAACGCGAATCAATGCAGAGCGCCGTGTCTACATTGAGCCTTCGCCTGTTGTGTTGTGTCCGCCTGTTGTGTCCGCCTGTTGTGCTGTGTCCGCCTGTTGTGTTGTGTGCGCCTGTTGTGTTGTGTCCGCCTGTTGTGTCCGCCTGTTGTGTTACAAGGACACACACACAATGGCCATTCACAATTCATATTATATTAGAAAATGTTTTTCTGGTTGGATTCCTGTCTGCCTGCGTGTCACGTGGGGTCGTGTGGCTGCTCGGTGGTGACGTCAACCCGCATCGAGCCCGGTCCGTGCGCCGCACTGACGTCATCGCGCCCCCTCCACCCCGACCACGGATTGAGTGCACGCACATGGAGCAGAGAGATAGAGCGGGAGATAGATCAGGGAGATAGATCGGGGAGATAGAGCGGGGAGATAGAGGCGGAGAGGGACGGAGAGAAGGAGGGCTGGGAGAGAGTGAGAGGGCATGAAACGGAGAGGAAAGAGAGAGCCAAACGGGTAGAGGAGAGCAAAGGAAAGTGACAGGCAGTGGGAGGGAGTCTTGGGGAGAGGCGAAAGAGATTGAGATGGGAAAGGGAGAGGTGGGAATAAGGAGATTGAGGGTGAGAGGCGAGAGAGAGAAGCAGGGAGAGAGACGGGGGAGGGGAGTGGGAGAGATCCTGGGGAGGCAGGAGAGGAATGCAGAGGTCGAGGTAGAGGATGGACCAGAGGAAGAGAGGAACGAAGACAAAGCGATTCATAGAGTACATGGAGATGCAGTGTTTCCAGTGCAGAGAAGGCAATAGAAAGGAGGAGAGATACAGGGCTGTATAAAAGATTGAAATAAGTTTTGCTGGCTGGCTGGAAAGGATGGACGGACGGTCACGACCAATTGACATGCGGGTTGCGAGTTTACTATTTAAAAACAAACAACCACGGAACTTCTCTATTTCTCCTGTTTGGTAATTCATCAAGAATACATAGCTACCTGCCAGAACATATGCTTCTAAATGCTGTGTTTGTATTTCAAGACTTTGGGCAAAATTGTGGCCAGTGCCTCTGCTCAAATACCACGCACATTTTATTATTGATTTATGCAATGGGGTACCATTTCAGTATTTCCTAAACTTTAGCACCTGCCAAGTATTATTTCAATGTGGCCATAAATTACAGATGGCAAAGCCTTCCACAGCAGTCTGCATCCTATAGGGTGGCTTGAACAACACAGAAAAATAGAAATCCCCCCCCCCAAAAAAATCAAACAAAATTGTAAAATATATATCTTCTTAAAAGGTGAAAAACTGCAAGAATTCCACGAGTAATTCCACACACGTGTGGCCCCAGTAGAAGCCCGTGTGCACAGTCAGGTGTGTGTGTGCGCGCGGTGTTTATGGAGAGTTTTGTTTCATAAAAGGAGTTTTTTTTTGTAATCCTTGAACCCAGTCACCCCAGAAGTTCCCGCTACAAAAATCCCGACAGATGCGAGCAGCATCGTTCTTCATTCTTATTTTCATCATTTTTGAGTGGAATGTTTTATGAATGTAAAAGTAGAATTATAACTGTATAATTATCATTGTATAATAATAACTGTATAATTATAATTATATAATTATAATTGTATAATTGTATAATTATAATTGTATAATTATTCACCCATGCGACTTATGGCAGGTATCCATTGCAGAGAGACCTATGGAATCCCCTCTGGTAATTTGGCCTACTCTTCCACGCCAGCCACATGTGTTGGTAGAGGTCGGGGTATCCACACTGTCCTCCACCACTAGTCATATGCCCGTCAAACGTAGTGTACCCCTGTATATTGTATATGCACTTATTAAAAATAGATATGCATAAGAATGTACAAATATAATTAAATATTTAATATTTTGTGGGTCCACCTTCCTCATTCCTTCATGAATATGGTCCCTTCTCAATGCTCTCCTGAACTCTGACCCCTCACTGGCATTCTCATCAAACTCACTGCAAGGAAGAAGATCCGTGGTCACTATCCAGTGCGCTCGTTCAATGCGGCTTGAGAGCAGACCTCTGTCAGTCTTGCTCTGCTCTAAGTTCGTCTTGGACATTATACAACACGAATCCGTGTTTTATAGGTCTGCCTGGGGATTCGAATATGTATAGCTTACGTTTAGCCATCCAAGTGTGTACTACGACTAAGGAGATTAACTCACAACTTGAAGGGGGAAGAGTTAAATACATAATTGGGGGGTCAAGTCAACCAATGACCCCCCCAGTAGCGATGCTGTTCAATCATGACCACTTCATAGGCAGTCAACAGTTGGGTTGCCACGTTTCTGCCACGTCAACCAAGATATGTCATGGGGGAAAACATCTCACAACACCATTGGGAAGGGATAATAACGCAAACATTCATTGTCAATAGCGGTGTCTTGTGACGCGGCTGACGACAAACAGGACTTGTAATGTCCCCAGGATAACTTGCAGATTCCGCAGGACAGCTGCTTTACAACGAAGAGTCAACTGTGCACGTGAAGTGCAGGGTGGTTCGATGCCTTTTAGCATCTCAAAGCGCACGGCAGCAGCTGTCCCTGCAAGTGCGCATTCGCCTGTCAGTAGCGGGCGATGCTCGGTCCGCGTAATCCCAGCTGAGCAAAGACAATTATTGTGGAGAACCAGGACTGGTGGTGTAAAGCCGAGCGAATCTGGAAGATGTCGGTGCCATCCCATTGTTCCTTTGAAGGAGCGAGCGAGACACCCTGACGTGACGACTTTCGTCGTGTTAACACTACCGAGCTTTTCATTTCATCCGACGTTACCTCCCTGCAAGTCGCTCTCGCCGCATCAGACGTGCAAGGATACTCTTGGAGCGCTTGGCTGCGCGGAATTCTCCCATCATGAACTTGGAGTATTTAATCGCCTCGCGCACGGACTCGGGGCTCGGCGGATCGCTGAGCTTGCGGATCGCCAGCTTCTCGTCGTCCTAGACAGGGGGGGGGGGCAGCAGAGCGAGGAGGAAAGCGACAGCAGAGCGAGGGTTAGCGTCGCCACCTCTGAAGTAGAAACAAAAACATCGGGACTTATGTGCGGAGGTTTAAACTCTTTCGCACCGTACGTAGCCAAGCGTTCTCGTCGGAGGTGCGGGGGAAGGACAACAGCATAGCACAGCAGGCAGTGCTAAACACACGAGTTTTCAATCAGGATGATGCAAAGTGTTTCCTGATATTGGAAGGAAGCGCGTTCCAGACGGCCGCAGAAGCGCATCTGAACGCGCGGTGCGGTGACCAAGGCAAAGCTGCTGCAGCTTGCTGCGATGATGATGAGCGGAGTTTACCGACTCGGGGTAAAGAAGAATATCTCGCAATACCGGATGGAAGAGGGAGAGAAGCACGCACTGATGTATTGTCTTGCGTGGTGCATTGTTACGCAACTGATAACAAAGGGGACTTTAAAAGAATACATTTGCAGTCCCCAGGAAAGCCTCACTCTGTTTAACATTCTCTTACAGGAGGGTGCTGCCAAGCTGTCGCGGGAGGGGACGATGCTGAGAAGTGTAATTCCAGTTGAGTAGCTGTGAGGTCATTCTTCTGCATTGGGGGGTGTTTGTCTATTACCAGTTGCGCTGTATGCGTTATCTTTATTTGTAGCTGTCTGTGAATTTGTAATGAGAACACTTTTACACATTTCGCAAAGCAGCAGTTCCCTGTCTCCAGAGCTTCTGTGCGCGATTTGATTTTGTTCGTCAAAGATTGTTGACGTCGCTCGCTCGCAGCTGACGAGCAGCCCGGAGTGGCGACTACCACTGGGTGTGTGCGCGTCGCTCTCGTCGCTTGGCACAGCGCGGCCTCGCAGAGCATCACAGAGCATCACAGAGGGCCGCCACGACCTCCAGGGTGCTCGTGCTGAGGGCCACTGCAGAGGGGCAGCCCTGCAGCTGCTTGCTCACGGCACGGAAACAACGCTGCTTGCTAATCGCTGTCCAGAAAGCCAATACACTCAAGTACGGTCATTTCTTAGAACAGTGGTCCTTAACCTTTACTGCAGCCTTGCTTCTGAATTGTTAAAAAAATTATAATGTTAATAAATACATAGGTTTGATGAAACAAAGTAGTTGTGCTTTCGATTATTTACCTTTAAAAACCCGGCATGTCTCACACGCCCAGAAAGGGCATCTCACGCCCCCAGGGGTTGCGTGCTGCACCCTGGGCTAAGAAGAAGAACCACTGTCTCAGAGCGTCTCACCAGGTGGTGGCTCTGGCAGTGGCAGCAGTGGCAGGTGAAGAAGTACATCTCCCGCAGACGCTCGTTGCGATCCTCCGTCGGGTACAGCAGGTCAATGTAGCTGATGGACAGCTGTAGGGACAGCCACTCACGTGACACGCTTGCACAGCACAGAGGAAGCTCACGCGGTTTTGGCATGTCTGTGGATTAGAGTGTGGCTGATGGAATGTGCATGAATCTGTTTCGACGATTTAAAGTGTTTCATCATCTTGCACAGGCAGTGATTTAATTCCAGCCGGTCGAGTCCGACACACAGTTCCTGGAATGATTGTGGGAGTATTATTGTGAAATTGTTATTTTGGTTATAAAACTGTTCATGGCAATATAGAGGGTACAATAATATACAATTATTCCGCGTACTTTTTAATCTAGTGGTAGGGCCTTACACTGACAATCCCTCCTGCAAGCCTACCATTGTTATGGTAAATATCGAGTGAGAAAACAATTCCTGTGCTGGATGTCGGAGCTTGTAACAGTAGTCCAGCAGGAGGCGTCTCTGCCCTCGTGACTGCTGACAGCTCAGCCCCGCAGCAGCCCACGCACCGTGTCTGCCTCGTGGTCGCCCATCCAAGCCCTATCCAGGCTCAACCGCGCTTAGCCTCCAATATCTGAGTCATAGATTCATCTTCGCTGACCATCAATAAATGTGCCAAAGTTGACAATGGCTTTCATGTACGTTTGAGTTGACGAATGATGACAATGTCATGGCAAAACGAATCATATGACCGTGCAGTTTTACATGGCAACTCATCGGGAGTAAGTTTCAAGAGCAATCCATTCCTACAATAATCAAAAGCCAAATAAAGCGTCGTGTGATCCTCATCTCTGTTGGTAATTCTGAGGCGGTGGTGAAATCGATCTTTCCACGTGCGACAGAATGACGACTACGAGCTTGTCACAGGGCGGCACTCGTGGGGTGCTGACCCCCAGCTCGTGAGGACGATGGGCGAAACGAACCCCCCCACTTGACATTTCAGGTGCCATTCTCCCAGCTGTGAGTTGAGAGCCCGGCCACACAAGTCTACAACAGCAACACAAATACCAACCTGGTCACGATGCAGCATCCCACGTGACCCTTGCCAAAGAGGCCACGTGTATCCCGCGTCCAGACGGGCCGATATGCCGTCTGCGCGCTAAGGAAACTACCACTAGGATCGTTTGTCAGAGTCAAATACTAAATAATTGGCAACAATAATAATACTATTCTTTGGGTCCTTCGGTAAAGCCACGTAGATTAAAATAATAATAATAAAATAATAATAAATTATAGCGAGAGGGTGCATCAGCGCTCCCGCTATGTCCACCTGATGACGATTGTTTGTGTTGCGATCGAAACGTCGTGATATTTTTATTTATTTTTATTATATCTACGTGACATCATCTAAAGACTCAAAGACTATGAATTCCCGCAGTCACGAAAGCTTTAAGTCAATAATAATACTGCAATATTTTACAAATATAGTAGTAATGTATTTATTTCCCAACTATTCTAAAGTAATCTGCAATAACATTATTGTAATATTTTACAACAGCAATGATCACACTGATACATTTTACAATATCAATATTGATCGCCTCAGTATTTCAGGATGTTTACACTCGTTTATCCGTGACCTGGTGATTATCCGTGAATGTATTTATCCAGGGTCGGCATTCGTGAGGGTCGGGAGCACAGCAGATCGACGGAGTTGTTTGGAAAACTCTTCCAGTTATCCGGAGTTTCCGTGATCACTGCCAGCGGATAAACAAGCGAATCCCCGGGTGGGATCCTGGATATTTGCTGTGTGAGACACGTGCTGCGCGTGAGAAACTCGCTGTGTGTGAGACACGTGCTGTGTGTGGCACGTGCTGTGTGTGAGACACGTGCTGCGTGTGAGACACGTGCTGCGTGTGAGACACGCGCTGTGTGTGAGACACGTGCTGTGTGTGTGACACGTGCTGCATGTGAGACACGTGCTGTGTGTGAGACACGTGCTGTGTGTGTGACACGTGCTGTGTGGGCTGTGTGTGAGACACGTGCTGCGTGTGAGACACGTGGTGCGTGTGAGACACGTGCTGCGTGTGAGACGCGCTGTGTGTGAGACACGTGCTGTGTGTGAGACACTGACTGTGTGAGACACTGACTGTGTGAGACACGTGCTGCGTGTGAGACACGTGCTGCGTGTGACACGTGCTGTGTGTGTGAGACACGTTCTGTGTGTGATACGTGCTGTGTGTGACACGTGCTGTGTGTGTGAGACACGTGCTGCGTGTGAGACACGTGCTGCGTGTGAGACACGTGCTGTGTGAGACACGTGCTGTGTGTGAGACACGTGCTGTGCGTGTGAGACACGCGCTGCGTGTGAGACACGTGCTGCGTGTGAGACACGTGCTGTGTGTGACACGTGCTGTGTGTGTGAGACACGTGCTGTGTGTGAGACACGTGCTGCGTGTGAGACACGTGCTGCGTGTGATATACGTGCTGTGTGGGCTGTGTGTGATGCCAATCTGCGTGGGAAGCGTGCCCAGTTTGTGTTTTCCAAGTAAACCAAGTGGTGCATTCCTCAGTGTCATCATTTCCGAGTGCTCCCATTAGTCGCGCTTTGTTCCCTGTGAACTATTGACAGTAATTGTGGATGCCCCTGCAGATTCTGGCATGCGAGAGCACAGGTCACCTCAGTCTGATTACCCCCCCCCCCCCACGCCTTAAGGAACAGATTTGTCGAGGTGAGTTCGTGTGATGATGTATAGCCCGGTGAGTACTCGTGTTTTAGTGACAGGGGTTAAGGGTACTCCACGCACCTCAGATTAGCACGGTTGGTTACGTACGGTGCGAAAGAAGTTCACACAGTAGATACACACACAAAGTGGCAGGTTTGTTATCGAAAGGCGTGATGGCAGGTGACAAAGATGAATGTCCCCACTCTGACAGTCCTTGCCTTGCCTGCTACTGCCCCCTGCTGGGACTGGCCTTGGTTCCAGGCGTGTCAGCCCGCCCGTTCGTTATTGCTCAGTTCCAGTGGTAGAGCAAACAGAGGCGGCGGTGTGCTGCATTGTGCTGCTGTCTGCTGAGTGAAGCTACCTGGCTGGCTCTGAGTGGCGTTAGTGGGACAACTCGAGTCCTGGTGGAAGCAGGGATCATGGGGGGGGGCATGGTGACGTCTTTTCAAGAGGCGGATTTACACAAACGGAAGAGAGATGATCGTTGTTGGGCAGAGACTTCGGGGAAAACACAACGGGGAACGTTTACGTCGACCAGTTCGGGAAGGCGGATTGAGATGAGTCGAGGTGGAGGGGCGGGGGACATCAGCCTGGCGCGTGTGTTTGTCAGATTGACGGTGACAGCGAAACGCAGCGCACCAGAGGGCCGGAGAGGAACGTTTTCAATCGGCGCACGCTGCCGGCTATGGGGCCGCCCATAAATGACGTCACGCGATTTTGGACAATTTTTGACCCCCCCCCCCCCATCGTCACACGGCGTCATAAATGTCTGACCCCCCCCCCTCCCTAGGTGCGTGACGTCATTTATGGACGGCCCCTATGATAAATCTCGGAAGCATGGACACTCCTCAATAACGATGTAACTCGATGCTCATCCAGTCTGCACGACTGTGCGGGAGCGGCCTGTCAGTTGCACCGGCGGCCTTTGACACTCCGAGCCACGACAGGCGCCATTCTCGGCAGCGTCGCCGTCCGCACGCGCGCCAAGTGATGGAGGGTTAGAGAGACAGCGCCACGCTGGGGACACGTGACTACGCCGTCTTCAACACTGATACACGTGCACGGTCATCGCTACAGGTGGCATCCACACACACACATGCACACACATCCACACACACGCACACATACACACATCCACACACACACACATCCACACACACTCACACACACACATCGACACGCACGCACACACACACACACATCCACACACACATGCACACACACACTCACACACACACATGCACACACATGCACACACACATGCACACACACACACGAAGATGCCCGTGCCACCTTGTAGACCGTGGCGGCAAGTGCTGTCAGCAAGCGCCTATTAGGGCTGGCACCCCACGCAACGTGAGTTGGTATCGCTCTCCCAATGCTGATGTTCATGCATTGCACCAGGTAGTCATTGAAGGCCGAGACGACACCGCTCGCCACTGATGATGTTGGCCGTGAAGATTAGACGAACTGGGGTTCCCAGGTTGTTTGCGCAGTGCGCGAACTTCTGAACCTCATCCCTTTGACAAAGACGTCGTTCGCGCAGAGACCCACCCACGTACCTCCTCCCCTTGCCCGATATCCCGCAGAGCTCTCACTTGGGCAGTGCTGCCTCTGAACGTCACCACGCAGTTGTGGTCACAGCTGTGGTTGAGCAGAGCGAGGCTGTGGCGGCGGGGAGGGGGGGGAAGGTGCCAAGTGGGTTCAGAGCAAAGAGCCGCACCTCTGCACGCTGCGATGGCGACGATGGGCTGTGCGGGGACTGTGGCGCGTCTCGGCATGCCGGGGGCAGCGGGCAGGGCAAGCAACGCGGGCAGCTGCTGCTGCTGCCCGTGGTGGACATTCGATGGGAGCTGAGACGAAACGTCTCCTACGAGGCCCCGAGTGGGGCGGCGGCGAGGGCCTTCTGGAATGCCACTCAGGGCACAAGCCCATCAGGTGGCAGCCGTCCTGGTGCATGCAGAGTCAGAATCTGTACTTATACTGGAGGAATACGATGAGATTTAAATGCCTTTTCCACGGATGTCAATTCGTCACGGTCGGCACTGCATACGTACAATACGGGATATGGTATATGCATGTCTGTAGGCACACACACACACACATTGGCTGTGTATGTTGAACTTCTTTTGCACCGTACGTAGTCAACCGTGCTAATCGCACGTGCGGGGATAAATATAATTATATAATTATATAATGATACATGTGTAAGGACTCATCCCTTGGGAAATCGATTACATTTGGCAGTTCAGGGCTGTGTTTTGGATTAATGAAGAGATTATTTTTCAAATCAAATTTTTACCATCTCACCTGTTTTTCTCTCTCTTGATTGTTTTAGCTCATTCGTATAGTTGCATTCACCCCATTGGCCTAACTGTAATGCTCACATATAATTTGCACAAATCTGAAAACTATTGATTCTTACACGTGTGATTTGACGTATTTGTATCATTAATACTCAAAATGTATTCATCAATACGTTGTCACGTCATCATCGTCATCGTCAGCCATAATCGATCCATACGCGGATGACAGCCTCCTCAAGCTGTCGCAACCTCTCACAGTCCTGCCACGTGGTGATCCAGCGAGGAAACGGAGACACGAGCTGCTTGTGCGTCGCTACATCCCGAACGAGAGCGAGTGCGAAGTGAGAGAGAGCCGGCCGGTCCTGCCGAGTGCCGTGACCACCCACCTCGGGTACAGCGCAGCCCCGATGTGGTGGAGCTCTTCATCCTCCACTGTGAATCCGTTGCATCTCACCTGCTCACCAGTCACAGAGGGGACACGACACCCCATGTACGAGAGTGTCAGCACTCAGCAGAGTTTCTCCTAAGCGGCTCACAGCAGCCAGCCGTGCGGGAGGCAAAGCACGACAGTGCCGAGCCGGACCTTTCTCTGTCAGGTGCAGGCTCGCAGCCCTCGCAAGGAATTTAGTTGGCTGCCTCCATCAATGTCTAATACATAAATAACTATCCGTGTTGATGTATATTGATCGATGCATTGAAACAAAACGAGAAATCGGAAAACAGATAGGATCCGTTAGAGGGGAATGACAGGGATTGGCTAAAGGTAAAACACAACCAGGACAAGAAGGTTCGAGAAAGGGGGCTGAGGAGTACGAGGAGTGGGGGCGTTGGGAGGAAGTTGCGAGCTGGAGACGAGGCACGGAGTCCGGGGTCCCTGATTGTGGCTGCGTCCAAATAAAAGTAGCTCTTCTTACTCCTTCGTCGTCTGAGTCGTTACGTATTTATTGTTTTGCTCTTCTGGCCGGAGTGTAGTTTTTTTGCCGAATGTGTTGAGGTTTTTTTTGCGAATTGAGATTTTGCACCACTACCAAAGCAGCATCACCAAATAGTAATAATATGCATTCAAATATATGTTTAAATATACATGTACGCACGCCTACATTTATATATATTGTACTGTAGTGAAGCTCTCGTGCTTACAATGCAAATTTACACATTCACATCTTGTAAGGTGGTCAGCTTGTGGTTGACGATACTCATACAAAATAATAATTATTTAGAGTTACACAGCATCTTTCTACGAGCAGCATCTCCAGATGCTATCAGGAATAACTAATTTCAGCAGTGTTCTTCACAGCAGCGTGATGTGGGCTGCGTCTGGGGCCGCACTGCAGGCCACCGCCAGGGGCAGCCAGTGGCTCGCGGGCCTTGCAAATGAAGAACTTCGATTTACATCGATGAACACTCCACGGGGCAACGCCCGTGTTTGGTGCCTCGATGCAGAGGAGGAGAAGTGCAGACCTTGCAAAACATCTCCACCATCTCCTCGTTGCCGGGTATTTGCAGCTGTCGCGAGTAGTAGTGGTGCAGCGCCGTGATCTCCTGCCCGATGGCCTCCCTCTGCTCGTTATCCAGCTCCTCGGTATCTGCCGGGAGTCCAGTCACGCCGGAGGGTGAACATCGACCACTTGCACTCGTGTTCAACAACACTGTCACGTGGGGTACAGGTGCAGCCCTGAAAGTGTTGGCTCACGCAACTACTAGCAGAAAGGCCTCCACTAGAAGGAGCTCTAGAGAGAGGGTGTTTGGCTACTCTTCCACACTGGCAAAACATATTGGAAGAGGTGGGGTTACCGATGCTATATTCCACCACAGCCAACCTGCAGCTTAAATAACTGTGGTGTCCCCATTCATACTGCTGAGTGGACAGACGGTGGAGAGATTTAAGAAAGTTGTTCCATTGTTTAAACTTTCAGCCCCTAAAGAATGAATCAGCAAACTATTGATCGCAGGTCCAATGTGTTAACAATTGCATCACAGCAGCAGAATTAATACTTTCGAATGACTTTTCTTTCCCCCAGAAAGCTTCATTGAGTCTCAAAACACTCTCTGTTGGGCCCTTCTTTGGGGTTTCTGGCTAATCCATCATCAATCAGCATGTTCAGCGTGCGAGGGAAGTAGATAACGCAGAAATAGCCACGCATCGCAACGATCAGCACGGTTGGCTACGTACAATGTGAATGAAGTACAACATACATACACTAATAACTGTCCACCCAGCACTACAAATGGCACCGTAAGTAATTGATCATCATGGAAGTTCGCAGCAATCTCAGGACTCTGAAATTCCGTGTTCCACTTATGTACGAGGCTGCTGGCGCATGCAGCGGCTCGCTTACGTGACTCCATCTCCTCGACCCGCAACAACTCCTCCGATGCGCACGTCTCTTTAGTCATCTTCTGTCACAAACACAACACGTGGCAACACTTTGCTAAGTCGTATTAAACATTCACGTTCGCATACTGAACGTGTTTATTGCATAGAATTGTGTTTAACCTTCATTACTTGTGCTGTTAGTTTGTTAAAAACAGTAAGAATCATTTAAATTGTACCGATTATACTGTAAATATGCGACTTTAAAAAGTATAAGGAGCATGTTTAACGCACATATTTTATCTTATCGATTAATAATTTAATAACCATACTTTTTTACAAATGGCCAGTTAGGAACTGTGTTACATGTTCATATATCCAATACTCATTATCAGAGAAATGCAAATCAATTTAAAACAGAAAATGCAAACCCCAATTCTAGGAACATGATACCGTACAACAACCAACGTCAATTTCAAAGTGAAACGACAATTGGGTCGGCGCTCATTTGTGTTGGCAGCCCTGGCCCAGCGGTGAAACATTCCACTCTCCTCTAGTGGGGGTCACGCCGTGGCACAGAACACCCACCCTTCACTTGCCACAAAGTGGCACGACATTTATTTACCCCAAATGGAGATGTAAGTCCCAATCTTCCAGTTGTAAGCCAAGGGGTCTGCCACAGTGCACCATGTATAGGGCATGGCCGTCAAACCCTTGTCAGTGCCCAAACTTATTAGAGACCAATTCAGACCTTATTGGCCCTAATACATATCAACGGTCATCCTACGAAGTCCCATCACAAGGTAGAAACACAAACAAATAGACATGTTTTTGTGCCCGTATTGAAACGGCCTTATGGACCTGAAAACTCAATTTCCCTTGACGAGAATACGAGGTAAACCGTACGGGTTGACAGGGATGCAGAGAGATGATGGGCTAAGTCGTCCCCACACACACACATACACACACACAGACACACATACACACGTGTGTGAAATCAGAGCATGAGCGAGACGGACTTGCTTGGTGAGAATCCGGGCAACCAGCCTCACTGCCTCCCCAGGTGCCCACTGTGGGCCCATCTGCCGCAGCCCGTCGCAGTCCAGCTTGTGTGATGGCCAATCGGCTCGCTGGCACACACAGACACACACACACAGACAGACACACACAGACACACACGCACACACAGACACACACACAGACAGAGACACACACAGACACAGACACACACACACACAGACAGACACACACACAGAGACACACACAGAGACACACACAGAGACACACACAGACACACACACACAGACACACACACAGAGACACACACAGAGACACACACACAGACACACACACACACACAGACACACACACAGAGACACACACACAGACACACACACAGAGACACACACAGACACACACACACAGACACACACACAGACACACACACACACAGAGACACACACAGAGACACACACAGACACACACACACAGACACACACACACAGAGACACACACAGACACACACACACAGACACACACACAGAGACACACAGACACACACAGAGACACACACAGAGACACACACAGACACACACAGAGACACACACAGACACACACACAACACAGACACACACACACAGACACACACACAGACACACACACACAGATACACACACACAGACACACAGAGACACACACAGACAGACACACACACACACAGACACACACAGAGACACACACAGACACACACACAGACAGAGACACACACAGACAGACACACACAGAGACACACACAGAGACACACAGACACACACAGAGACACACACAGACACACACACACAGACACACACACAGAGACACACACAGAGACACACACAGAGACACACACAGACACACACACAGACACACACACACAGAGACACACAGACACACACAGAGACACACACAGACACACACACAGACACACACAGAGAGACACACACAGAGACACACGGTGCTGATCACAAGTCAAGTAACAGATCGCATTAAACAAACACTCAATGGCTACTGGTGTAGGCCTTGAGTGGGTTGTAGGTTTATAGATAGCTCTGTGTGGTGTTGTCTTTGGGTTTGTACCGCTTGCTGTTTGGCATTGTGCGTGAAATTGTACTGCACGCGCTGTGAGCTTCTTCGGGAACTGTAGTCCATTAAAGAAGCTCTTCGTGCATCAGAAGAGAGTCGGCTACAATGGCGAATAGCCACGTGGTACAAGCTGCAAACACACCGGGGGACGGTCAAGGAGGCTACGGTGCATACATTACAGGATGCAGCAATGCATTGGCAACACTGATGTAAATGGTTATAATACCTGTAATTATTTGTTACATAATGTCGCAGATGTTAACATTTCATCTTAATATTGTGTGGTGTAGAACAGTTACTTGTTTCACTTTGGTTGGCATATGGGTATACAAATGAGCACTCGAACAGCAGTGAATAACTAAACAGAACAGTGTGCTTAGAGAGAAACTTGTCAATCAGTGCATATTACTTGCACTGACAATTCGCCTCGAACAATGGGCAATTATTAAAAATACGGGGACCCAAAACGAATAAGCGCTCACAGAAGCGTGGAGAGATGCGTGCTTAGAATCCCACTTCAGAGACAGAACGATTACCATCTTGTTTACTCAACGTAAGCACAAGCAGGTTACTGGCAAACTGTTCAAATAAAAGTGCACTTGGGCAGGACAATTTCCAAGCAGAGATGATAGACCAGGGTCAGGACACGCGTAGGAGGAGCAGACACATGAGTAAACACGCGCCACGGGACATCCAGCACGGAGATGGAGCGATAAAAACAGCTCTCGTGCAGGCGCTACATGGGTTGTTGCTGCATCTCGAGGAATCACGACAGCTTGGGGAGGTCTTCGCCCAGCAGTGGATTGATCATGGATGATGATGATGAATAGTACGTGTCCAAAGAGTTGAATAATGAAGATCTCTGCGTCAAATTTCGATTTAAAGCTTTCGTGACTGCAGGGATTAATATTCTTGAATCGAAACGTCGTGCGAATTTTATTGTTTTATTTTTATTATTTTATTATTTCCCTTATACGTGACTTTACCGAAAGAACCAAGAATATATCTCCGTGTCAGTTTTGTTCTATTTTAGAGAGTGTCAACAAAATCGAGTTGTGACCAGATTTGTTTAGATCAGAACAAATCTGCAAAAGACGCCCTGGTGTCAACAGAACGTATGCTTCGTCATGAGTCTGTGCAGAACAAAACCAGCGGTAATCAGATCTCTGGCCATTACTAAAATTAATCATATCATCCATGATCAACATGGCAAATCAGGTATCTAGGTAGGAAATTGATCATAGTGCAGGCAGTTAATAACATCCGGAGGGACCTCCACAGGCCGTTTATTGAACAATGCAAGCTACGCTCTTTTGAGGTGGCAGCGTAACGCCGCAATTAGTGGCACGTGGAATTAAATGAGTCGCGTGAAAAGCGACATTGTGGATTTTAAGGGAACAACAGAGACACTCGCTCCTTTGGGATTGTTTTTGCAGCGTGTTGTGATACACAAAGCCGGAATTACAAAACTGTGGAAAACGCAGACTTTGAAAATATCCCATAAAAAATATAAATATATAACGAACACAGCACAGACGCTTTTCTGCAGCGTTCATTCGTAATGTGAGTTCATACGCTTTTCATCACTCATTTGCACACTTTTATTTCATTTGCCAAAATGGGTAGAAATAGCTTGAATCCAAGTACCATGTTGGCTTTTCTAGTATTACCAGGGAATGCAGATGTGTCTTTGAAAGTATTCTCATCCCACTGAAACAATATCAATATTTATTACCTAAACACTAAATCATGTTCAATAGGATCCCATATGTCATATGGAGTGATCTTGCCAATACCATATGATTTGTAGCAAGCCTGATTGTTGATGAGACCCATACGTTTGACACTGGTCAAGAGTTCGTTTGCTTCAACAAATTCTGCTTGATATTGGTTTCAAGAGCCAGTAGACTTATTGATTCAACATCTTATAGGATTTGGCCAATGGTGTGTCATCATCATCCATGATCAATCCATCACTAGACAAAGGCCTACTCGAGTCATCACCGTGTCATGATCCTGTGATGTAATCATCCACGTGCAACTGCAATATTGTAATTATAGAGTAATTATGAAGTAACTGCAAGTGTGTGGGTATCATCATGAAAGTCTTGTGAGAGGAAGAGAGGGCATCGCAGCTGAACACCAGTGCACGTCTGAGACCATTCGTCACTATTAGTATTAATGACAGTACAGCTGAAGGTTTAAATGGCATGCGATGGAGATGGTGGCGTGTAACCAGCGTCCTTCACTATTAAAATAACCCTCAATTAAGCGCAGGAGCGCATGCGCTGCGCTGATGGTATTTATAGCGGCGGCTGCATTCCTGCCCATGTAAGTGAGAGCAGTGGCAGCAGCAGCTGATGCTGCTGATGTGATGTCTGGCCTGCACGACCAGTCCAAGTGACAGATCATAATTATGGCAACACCATTGCTGTGCCTCGTAATGGATTGTTATTGTATTGTTATTAAGACGACGCTTGTTTACCTAGGAAAGCCTGTATCTCAAGACTCTTTCTCAGGAGGGTCCTGCCAAGTGTTCTCAGTCGTGGGCGATGTGACTGCCATCCGTCATCCCAATTGACGAATATGCAAGCGATTGTTCAGCATTGTGATGCCTGGCCAATACCAGTTACAAGGTGTTTTATTTGGCTTTGTGAAGGACCGGGAGCATCCAAAGGACACCATACAGATCGGGGGAAATGTACAAAGTTCACATGTAGTAAAGGCGCTTACATTGGGAATCTAACTCAGGCCCTTCGTGCTGTGAGGTGCAAGTGTTACGACTGTGGCGTGTACAATTCCATAGACTATTTCATCTCATGAAGTTTAATATTTCAGGTAAAATGTAGCACGTGAAATCATTTATAGGTTGTTGGACATGAGCGTGAAACACAAACAATGGAAAACAAAGTTACAAACACTAACAATGGGAACATATTTACAAGTCCTCCTTGTGGAGTTCTGTTCCCCACAGTGCAAGATTGCGGTTGAGGCTGCCTGTTAGTAGTACCTGGCACTGTGCATTGCAGTAATACGCCTGCTTACACTTCCCACAGTGAGACAGCTTTTCCTTCCTGCGGGGAAAAACACCAAAACACATCACATTCATAGCGACCATTCACTTTCCCTGCTCACGTTCATATTTGTATGCAACACTGCATGCACTCGCCCTGAGACAGAGAGTTGTTCCACAATCTGACTTGGCCTTGTGTATGCAAAACATGCAAGCCTACAAATCAAGTGTCAATGTGCAGCCCTGCAATTTCCTGTTCACGTCACTGCGTCCAGAAGGGCCCCCAACAGAGGTAGCTTTATTGAGTCCCTCTGGAGGGTAGCTGGCCTACTTTTCCCCGCCGGTCAGACGTTTTGTAATGTTTAGCTGTTCGCAGCGTCGTGTACGGAAATGACATTTCACCATCACTCAGAAACCGCAGACAAGCTGGAAGGCAGCCAGGCGGCGAGCTGGCAAACAACAGTTGCCCAAGCTCTGCAGTCCTCTGTGTATTAAGATGTTTCAGCTAATGAGTATTCACAGGTGTAAAGTGTAGGGAGCAACCTCCACTTGACCGCACCACACCGAACCTGCCAATCGACTGCTGGGTGCGCAGAGTGTTGAGGATTTAAGGCATTTTAGAGGATGGTGGTTGAACACAGCACGGTTGGGACGGAACACTCAATGTCGGCGACCTGGAGTCCTCGACACGGGCGGAGGAATCAATAATTGGCATCCATGGGCGCAGTGTCCGTGATAGCAGCGATGCGAGAGCGATCAGGAGCTGATGGACTTGGCTAACCTATAGAGTCGCAAAGTGAAGGGCGACTTCATCCGATCGCCCTCACCTGGCGACCAGCAACCCTCACCTGGCGACCAGCAACCCTCACCTGGCGACCAGCAACCCTCACCTGGCGACCAGCAACCCTCACCTGGCGACCAGCAACCCTCACCTGGCGAAGCAATTGTCGCAGAATCTTCCCCGTTCATCGTCGGCGACGGTGGCACTGAACGGATGAGCAACGAACAGCAGGTCGCCCCGTGAGAAGCTGCCGCGAGCAGCACGGAGCCCTCTCCCCTTGCCGGGGCTGGAGAACCTCTCCACCGTGCTCCTACCAACCTCCTCCTCCTCACCCATTTGCTGTCTCGACCACAACGGAGCCCCCAACACACACGGACGTGTCGATGTGCGCGTCGTTTTAGATGCGCAATCCGTCGGCCGAGCTGCTGCTGCGACGTGCGCGCGTGGCGGTGCTGCGGGAGGGAGCGCCGAGTCGTCGAGAGCGCAGCTGCGCCGCGTGTGCCTCTCGCGATGAGCGAGGCCGCTGCGGTAACACGAGACCCCCCCCCCCACACCCCCCCCCCCCACTCTGTGCTCGCAGGAACAGGCACCTCGGTCCAGCCTACATCGAGATCTTTACAACTCCAGAATCCTCCAGAATGAACGCAGCCTGCCTCTCAGACATTATCACTGCAATGGCAAAAGTCGCGAAATGTCTCTGCTGGATTCGTTGAAGTTGGATCAATGTTGCGTTGTACTGAATTGTACTAACTCTTTTAAAAGTCTGGAGTCGACAGATTAATGTAATTCTGCCTGTGACTCTTCCATATAGCGGAGCTTCATCAGCCATGGCCAATCCACTGCTGGATGAAGGCCTCTCCAAGCCCCTCCGCCTCCCTGCTGCTGCTGCCAAAGCCTGGCAGTCTGAGTGGCTGTGTCAGTCTGAGTGGCTGTGTCAGACTGAGTGGCTGTGGCAGTCTGAGTGGCTGTGTGGCTGTGTCAGTCTGAGTGGCTGTGTCAGTCTGAGTGGCTGTGGCAGTCTGAGTGGCTGTGGCAGTCTGAGTGGCTGTGGCAGTCTGAGTGGCTGTGGCAGTCTGAGTGGCTGTGGCAGTCTGAGTGGCTGTGGCAGTCTGAGTGGCTGTGTCAGTCTGAGTGGTTGTCAGTCTGAGTGGCTGTGGCAGTCTGAGTGGCTGTGGCAGTCTGAGTGGCTGTGTTAGTCTGAGTGGCTGTGGCAGTCTGAGTGGCTGTGGCAGTCTGAGTGGCTGTGGCAGTCTGAGTGGCTGTGGACGCCTGCGTCGTCTCTCGTGCCGCCGTGAGCCGTGTCCCGTGTCCGTGCGCGTTGGTGAATGTCGGTCGCGAATCCAGCAGCCCTCGGGCACCTGGTGAACTTGGTGGTGAACCCGGCGGTGAACCCGGCGGTGAACCCGGCGGTGAACTTGGGGGGTGAACCTGGGTGGTGAACCTGGGTGGTGAACCTGGTGGTGAACTTGTGTGTCTACAAGGCAAGGGCCACTTCGTTCTCCCTGAAGTGGCACGACTACCCTTGCCCACTGTGGCGCACTTGTACAATTGTGCGGCGTTTCAACCACGGTGCACATGCCTTGCCACATGTTGTGCGTGGACCCGCACCAAGGAATGATGTTTTACTGCCTTTAAATAACAAAACACTGTTGGAAGGATACGCCTGGCTAACACATGAATATATATATGTAGGATAGTTTTGGAAGGTGGATCGGGAGCAAAATATTGAAATAAAGTTGTTCACAAGAGCAAAATGGAGTGTATTTTGATAATGAAAAGTAATGTTGATTTCCGCCGACAATGACCTCGAGAGGGGCTCTCTCAGCTCGTCGCGTGGAGATCTCAGCTATTGCGGGGCTGCGTCTTCACCTTCTGTCTTGGAGGAGACACGTTTTTTGCAATGACTTTAGATGTTGTTTGGCAGGCCGCTGTGGCTGAATTAAATGGAATGAAATAAATATATATTTACATTGTCATGGTGCCAAAAAGGCCATTTGATTGGTGGCTTGTCGGAGGCCCGGTGCAACATCGCGTGTTCATTAGAGACATTATGTACAACGTGGAATTAAAGGCAACAAATTGTAAGGCCTGCACTTGCCAAAATATTGACAAAATTTCATACTGAAATCATTTGGTTTGACTGTAATTGCTCATTGAACTGCAGGTGGCACTGTGTGTGTGGGCGTTTTGTAAATATTTATCCAAAAAGCAAAATGCTGGATGCTTTTGAATTACTGAAAATTTTAAATTGTCAGCCTGAAGATAAGTTGTGCATAAATGGTCTGCTGTTCACAGAAAGATACATGTGTTGCACTCAGAGCTGATTAGCATTTGTTTGGAAGCATTTGTGTCGCGTGTATGTACATTTTAAAGCGTTAAAATAACCTCCCCCCTCCTCTCCCCCTTCCCCTCACCCCTCCTTCCCGCCACTCCCTTGGCTCTCCTTTTTAAGTTACCCCCCCTCCCTCCTCATACAAGCACACAAACACTCACACACTCACTCATACACAAACACTCACACACAAACACTCACTCACACTCACACACACTCACACACACACTCACACTCACTCACACACAAACACTCACACACTCACTCACACACTCACTCACACACAAACACTCACACACTCACTCACACACAAACACTCACACACACACAAACACTCACACACAAACACTCACACACTCACTCACACACAAACACTCACACACACACAAACACTCACACACTCACTCACACACAAACACTCACACACAACAACAACCGCCATTCGCCACTAAGTGGCGGTGACGGCACCACGACGCTTGTGGCAGGCTATATGCACCTTGAGGCCACGTGAAGTGTCGAACACCCGCTGGCAGGAGGTCACGGGGCAGACCCAGGTGCCACGGGTCGACTGACTGAGATGACTGGCTGATGCACCACCTGTACCCCCTACTGTGCCAACTTGCTGTGCTTTAGCCACCCGGCGCTCCGCTCGTTGTTGTGAGCGTCGCTCCTCCGCCCTCCGTTGATATTGGAGGGCGACTGCCTCCAACTACCCAGTAGCGTCCTTCACGAGCCTCCTCCACTGAGGCCGATCTTGACACCGCTAGTATCAGTCATCGCCAAGTCCACTCAGCTCCACATCCTCCTGTACCACATCATTCCATCTCTTCTCTAGCCCGTGCCGCGCCCGTTTAGCCCCCTGGATCCGGCCGAACAAAAGCGGTTTAGGCATGCGGTGGCTGGGCATGCTGGCCACATGATCCAGCCAATGCAGCCTTGCCTGCCGGAGGAGCTCACCGATGGGATTTTGTCCACATCTTTCAAGGATTTGGGAGCTCCTCACACAATCCAGCCTGGTTAAACCATGGATGGATCGTAGGCAGGCCAGCCTAAATGTTTCTAACCGGCGAAAATGAGTGACTGGCTGAGGTGCCATCTGTTGAGGAAGTACTGAAGGCGATCCAGAGTCTGAGACCAGGAAAGGCACCGGGCAGAGATGATCTCCCAAGCGAAATGCTGAGGGAGGTTGGCGTCTGTGCACAGACTGCCCTTCATGACATCATAACAACAGTCTGGACCACTGGGCGGGGTCCGCAGGATTAGAAGGATGCCCTGGTGGTCCCCCTCTTTAAGAAGGGAGACCGCACAGACTGTAACAACTACAGGGGCATCTCACTCCTCAGTGTGCCGGAAAAGGTCTTGGCAAGGATTATTCAACATCGCCTTGCTAGGCACGCTGAAGAGAGGCTTGCGGAGCCCCAATGCGGTTTCAGGAAAGGGCGGTCCTGCACAGATGTCATATTTTCTGTCCGTCTCCTACAGCAGAGGTATTGGAAATTCCAACAAGACCTACATCTCTGCTTTATTGACCTGGTCAAGGCCTATGATACCATCAGTAGGCCTGGGCTCTGGGTTGTTCTTCGTGCTTTCAGAGTCCCTGACCCGCTGCTCACGATCATTACGGACCTTCATGATGGTGAGCGGGCCCGGGTAAAACTACGTGGCAGGGAGTCAGGGCCATTCCCTGTACACCTTGGGTGCGACAGGGATGGCTTCTGGCTCCCACATTATTTAACATCTATTTTGACCGCGTAGTTCGTGAAGCCTTCAATAGCTGTACCGGAGAAATTTCCATCTGGTACAGATACAATGGGAGGCTCATCGATGTCCGGGTGCGGTCAAGGGATGGCTCCCTATTGCTCAATCATGTTATGTATGCCGATGATCTGGTAATTGCTGCTCACAGAGGAGGAGTTGGAAGCGCTGCTGCTGAACCTGGAGCGTGTCACTAATAAGTGGGGCCTTACCATCAGCCCCATCAATACTAAGCACCTGCCTGGGTATTTTGTACCACCGGACACTCCACCCCCACAACTCCCAATTGGTGATGGGGCAGTTGTGGAGAGAGTGGAGAGTTTCCCATACCTGGGCAGTGTGCCCATGAGCGGCTCCGGTTTAACAGCAGAGGTCTCACTCGGAATCAGTAGAGCGGCATTGTCTTTTCATCGGTTGCGTAACGCTGTTTGGAAGCTACCTGGTCTGTCGCTCCGCACGAAGCTTCAGGTCTTCTCGACCACAGTCATTCCCTCCCTTCTCTATGCTTGCGAAACGTGTCCCCCCTAATGGAACTCACACACACTCACACACTCACTCTGTTCGGTGGGGCAGCAGCAGCAGCAGCGAGCGAACCCAGACGCACGCCGTTCGGCACTGAGGTCCGCGGATTTTCTGCCCCTCCCCCTACACACATCTATAATAGAACAACACGATTTATTTTATTATGTAAAGAATGTGTGAGGAGTGCTCGAGTGTTCGTGTGATGGCTCGCCCCTGGCCGGAGCGCAGCGCGAGACGCTGCGAGGTCACCGGCGGCACAGAGCGCAGCGCGGGATGGTGGTGGTTGTGGTGGTGGTGATGGTGGTTGTGGTGGTTGTGGTGGTGGTTGTGGTGGTGGTGGTGGTGATGGTGGTGGTGGTGGTGATGGTGGTGGTGATGGTTGTGGTGGTGGTGATGGTGGTGGTTGTGGTGGTTGTGGTGATGGTTGTGGTGGTGATGGTGGTGGTGATGGTTGTGGTGGTGATGGTGGTGGTGATGGTTGTGGTGGTGATGGTGGTGATGATGGTGATGGTGGTGTCGGTGGTGGTGATGGTGGTGATGATGATGGTGGTGGTGGTTGTGGTGGTGGTTGTGGTGGTGGTGATGGTGGTGGTGGTGATGGTGGTGGTTGTGGTGATGGTGGTGGTGATGGTTGTGGTGGTGATGGTGGTGGTTGTGGTGGTGGTGATGATGGTGGTGGTAATGATGGTGATGATGGTGGTGGTGAAGCTGATGATGGTGGTGGTGATGATGGTGGTGGCGGTGGACGCTGGTGTCGTGGTTAGCGCGCTGCGTGACGAACCTGGCGACCCTGGTTCGATTCCCGGCTCACGGCCAACACCGGTGACGTTTATCTGAACCGGTCCTTGGCCTCTCATAGGTCGGCTCAGCCTCAAATGTGTACCCGGTGCGATGTGTAAACATCGCCAGTGG